CACTATCAATCTTTGCTTATCATGCTTGTGAATTAAAGCAATATCAAGGCAATACGCACAGTATGCACATATACCAATTAGAGACTGACCAGTTGCAGTCCTAAACATCAATGGGAAGATTCAAACAAACTATACTAAGCGAATTGAAACAGAGATGAGTTAAAGAAAATTGCAACTAATTGATTGCAAAATAAAAGTGGGTGTATATAAAGTAACATAACCGTTAATTTGTACTTTTCATAATCTGATCTCTAGCATTATGATGAATTGAGATTAACAGCATTTTGATATCAGTCAAATTGGTCACACAGTTTATTATGCCAAATATCATATGAACAGTGAAAACAGCCGTCCAATGCTTTCAGGTTTTCCATGGTGGTCTAGCTTCAATTGACTTATGATTTCAACTACAAAATTACAGAAATCTCCACAAAAGCCCCATCTGACAGTAGAAAGTGTTTTTTTAAACTACTGTATTTAACAAATAACTCAAACATTAGGCAACAGTGATTACTAACTACTTAATAGTTTTGTGTATCAATTTTCAGTAGAATTACCCATTTATTGAGATATTTTGCTATAAATAATGAAAAAAGTTGACAGGGAAACATTTTAGAGTTTGTATTAATCATTCGATAATTTGAATTGATTTGTAACTCAAGTGGGTGATCTTAGTTGAATAGTGTCTTGTGAACTGTATAGTTTAGTAACTAAGCTTCATAGTATTTCTAGACAATATCATCAATCTAAATTGCAGATAGAAGTAAGTTATTCGAATTTCTCAACATATGACTGACAGTCTGATCTAACTTCCTTGATCTTAATTGATTGTTATTAGTTCTTGTTTGTTCACTGTCTGATTATTTATTTTGCTTGTCTTACCCTCTGATCGGATTTTTCATACAATAATTGTTCATGATTTTTCTAATTCATTAGTAAATTGAATTGATTTCCATAAGTTTACTGATTAGTGATTGTTCTGGTTGACAAGTTTCTTAAAGTTCTCTGTTCTGTTTTGTATTCCCCTTTTTCAAATTCTCAACTATAAATTCAATAAAATTTCTTTCTAGTTACATTTTACTAATTTTGTAAAATTCATATTTTATTTAAATGATATTTTTGCATCATAATGATCCTAAGGCTATCTCTGAAAATTTATTGTAGTATGGAGCTCTAATAGTAGATTTGTCAAGAGTGTCGTGTGTATAAAGTAGGCATAAATATTATTTTGGATACATTTGAAGAAATAACGTAATTTGTTATTGTTATATCCTAGTGAAGACATAAGTACGGGTAACTTCTGGGACCTATTAATGAACTATTATTCTACATATATTCTTATTGTTTAACTATTGTTATTACGTGTGGATTCGTAATAATATGGACGTGCAATTAGAGAGGAATGAATTTATTGATCGGAGGCAAATGATACTTGAAATTGTACGAGCAGTCTTGATTGCGTATCGGCCCTGCTATCTGCCTAGCCCAGCCAGTTGAGTCCAGAACACAAATAACAGCCTCGGCAATATGAATCATTATTCACAAGCATACTGGGTTTATATGCTAACCAAACAGACCCCATAACCAAAAAATAGAAAAATAACATTTGTACAATAATTGGCCAATGTGGCTGTGGATAGGGGGAAAGTAATCAATAATAATAGTTCAAAGGTCAAAATAAAGGTTATGATAAGAGGAACACGAATACGATTAGGTCAGTTATTTAACAACTATACAATAGGAAATAGACATATTACATTTGTCCATAAATAGACCTCAGATTTACCATTCATAATTCACCAGGGGATATAACAACTATTGAGTAATTAGATTATGTATATATATATATATATATATATATATATTCATCTTATTGTAAGATTTATTTCGACCTATAGATTATTATTATTATACGAATTACTTTCCCTAAATTATATCCAGTTTATTGTATCTAACATTCACAGCCACATTTGGCTTGATTTTGTACAAATATTATTTTCTATTTTATGGTGTGATGCAGTCTGTCTGTCTGGTATACAAACCAGGTATACTTGAAATAAATGATTCGCATAACTGACAATATAAAAGATTATTTATTGCCTAAAGTTCATAATTTGGAATTCCCAGTTTACATGTTCAAACATTGTTTTACTTTTATAATAAGAAAATCTAAGTTAATTTACAAGCATCGTCAGGTTGATATAAAAATCAATATTAGATATATGGTTAAGTTGTTTAAAAGGATGGGGGTTCATAAATTCCTTTATGAGGATATGTGTCCTATAAAGTGTAATAATATGAGGAAGAAGTTTAGATAATAATCACTTGCAACTAAAGAAAGATAACAAAAAAAAAACTGTCACGGTCGAACAATAACGGCAAACATTACTGTGATAGGTTTTCCGTTATATATGTACTAGGTTGTTTTACCTTTCACTCTTTTGGATAAACATTATTTAAATTCATTAGATTAACCAGGGGTAAGATGAATTTAAAATATTCGCAAAAAATGAAGTTCCAATAGTATGCTCAGTACGTATAAACATTTAAATCATTATATATTCATTAGTGGGATGTGATCCAGTCATGCTAATGAGTATTTTTTTAGCAGTATCAGATGATATGTGATTATTAAGTAGTAAACATGTAATTTCACGGACAGATTATAGTAAACTATTCCATGGTCTCAAAAACAGTCAGATAGTCTTATTAGATCAGTAAAATTTGCATTTCAAAGACCAGTATATGAGCTTATCTATATATGATTACTGAATTACACTCGCATTGACATTGCAATACAGATCATTAAAACTAACAAGAATATAATCTGTAAGAGTTTTTGTATATTTTTATGCGTTCAGTACAGCTCAGAACATTCATACTAGAAATTAGTCTTTTTTTCCAAGTTGTTCAGAATTGTCTGAATTTGTCTGTAGTTCAATACAAATATCCCACTGGCATTGTATTTAAAATATGATCATTATAAACATTTCATTTTACTTTTCAGTAGCCTAGAATGTAATATATTCCCTTCAAACTTATTCTAATCACTAGAAATTGTTTTACCTATATGGTTTTCAGTACGGGAATTTGTGTAGATTGTGGTATTTCCAAGTTTTAACTGAAGTGTTGATCTAAGGCAAACCACCACTGCAAATCGAGGGAAGCACTATTCCAACGTTTTATCCTTGCATGGAACTCCTCAGAAGTGCTCATGCATGATCTAACACCAAGTAGACTCGGACCTAGTACATTTGTTCTTTTGCGCGAATAATTAACCTCCAGACCATTGGACCAATATCAAAAGGTGTTAATGTCTAACTTCAATCAATCCATGATTTTGTGAAACCCTTCATATATTTACTGATATGGACAAATGTGTCACATTTGATAAGGATTGGACTTTGTTAGTCACAGATTCCCACCAGAACCATATGACATACATCTTGAACTAGTCACTAGTGACCGCATGATTTAGTTTATTTCCCATCTTCATATATCTATGCTTAGTTTCTGTTGAACACTCAGTTATTAACAACATGATTCATTAATAAATAAATATAACGAAAAATAACATTATTCACAAAGATGCACTTGATATTATTTGTTTGAATCTTCCCAGTGATGTTTAGGACTACGATTGATCAGTCTCTTATTGGCATATGTGCATACTGTGCTTATTGCCTCGATATAGCCTTAATTCACAAGCAGTATTCACATAGTACAAGACTTAAAAACAAACTGAAACTGCTTTTACTAATTCGTCAATATTCTATTTTCCAAATCAACATATTTTTCTCTAACCCTTTTTTGTATATGAAATTTATTCATTTTTATGTAATGTAATAGACGAGTATATTTTGAGTGACATACTGATGAAACCATGCCATTCTAATGAATAAAGTTCAAATGGGAGCATTTAAACTACTTTCAAATTTCCCATAATGATGTCAACTAATAGACATTTGGTTCATGACTTTAATTTTAAATGATTTATGAATTATTTAAACTTCTTTAAACTGGCAAGAAGTAGTCTTTTATCCTAATGAAATGTAAAAGATATTATTCAAACTGAGAGAGGATTATTCATTTCAATATACATTACAACTTTCTTGTAAAGCCATAGAATTCATGCATATTGCATACATGATATGCTTGATGCTATTACGAGTTCATCTTATTCTGTAAATAGAACGAAGGTCAAAGACCCAGTGACAGGTTAGGCTATTCTAAACCGTTGTCCTTGGCTATGCTAACTAGATTAAAAAGTCTTAATTAGACGTGGAGAATGTATTCTACAAGCACGTAGAAAATATGAGGTCACTAAGCACACAACCAAGCTTATTTATACAATGATAGAAATGCCCTTGGGAGAGCCACAAAATAGCGTACTAAAAAATTCCGTCAATCAATGACAGCCAAAGATTTCCGAGTGAGAAATGTAAGCTGTAGGTCAGTCAACTAAGCGTTTCTTGGCGCGAAAAGACAAAATTCAAAACTTCAGAATAAAATTACAAAACTAAGACCTAACGTCTTCATCAATAATATTAAATAAATATCAGAAGGGGTTTTGTGGAGATTTTAGTAATTTTATAGAGTTGAGATCATGAGTCAACTGAAGTAAGAACACTATGGAAAGCCTGGAAGCACTACACGGTCGTTTCGTCCTATTATGGTACTCCTCAGCAGTGCCCATCCACGATCCTGCACTCGCGAGATTCTAACCCAAGACCTACTAGTCTCGTGCCAGAGCACTAAACTGATAGACCACCGAGCCGGCATCCAATGGTAAGTCCTGGGTTCGAATCTCGCGATTGCGTGATCGTGGATATGCACTGCTAAGGAGTCACATAATAGGACGAAACTGCCGTCCAGTGCTTCTAATTCTTCCATGGTGTTCTAGCTTCAATTGACTCATGATCTCAACTCTATAATATTAAATAAACTTTGAACTAATTTACATATTATACTGATTTCCATTTTGAATTTTCTTTCTACAGGTTATATATTTTGTCATTGTGATACTGATGAATGTCGTGCATTTGGTTATAAAGAATGTAAAGCAGAATTTTATTGTTATAGTATTTATGAATTAAATTCAATATCCAATAATCGTATACCATTAACAAATCATACAACAGAAATTACTGGTATCTCTATTAGTCGTGGTTGTATATCAAATAGTTTTATAACAATGTGTACAAAAAAAGAAATTCAATATAATAAACAATTTAAATCACCATATTTAATTACTCGTTGTTGTAGAGATGCATGGTGTAATACAGATAAAGTAAAAGTAAGTGAAACTAATAACTATTGATTATAATGAATAATATAGTTTAAATGAATAATTAAAATGTTCAATTTGAGTGAATGTTTTTAATTTAAAACGAATTATATCCAAAACAAAATAGTAGTAGACAAGGTACTTACTTACACCTGTTACCCCTCGTCGAGGAGCATAGGCCTCACAACAGCATTCTCCATCCAACCCTATCCTGTGCAATCCTTTCAACTTGTTTCCAGTTAACATTCATCCTTTTCATATCTACTTCTATTTCCAGACGTAGTGTGTTCTTTGGCCTTCCTCTTTTCCGCTTCCCTTCCGGATTCCAAGTTAGGGATTACCTCGTGATGCAGTTTGGTGATTTCCTCAATGTATGTCCTATCCACTTAAAACGTGTTTTAATAATTTCTTCTTCACATGGAAGCTGGTTTATCCTCTCCCACAGTAGGCTGTTGTTGATAGTATCCAGCCAACGGACATTGAGTACCTTACGTAGACAACTGTTCATAAGTACTTGTACATTCTTGACGATGAATGTAGTAGTTCTCCACGTTTCAGCTCCGTACAGTAGGAGTGTCTTGACGTTCGTATTGAAGATTCTCACTTTGAAATTAGTTGACAGTTGTTTTGAGTTCCATATGTTCTTCAATTGTAGAAATGCTGTCCTTGCTTTGGCAATCCTTGCCTTTACATCTGCATCAGATCCTCCTTGTTCATCATTGATGCTTCACAGGTACGTGGATGTTTCCACCTCTTTCAGAGTTTCGCCATCAAGTGTGATTGGTTTTTTGGTGTTCTCCGTGTTGTATTTGAGGATTTTGAATTCTCCTTTGTGTATGTTAAGGCCTATTGATCCAGAGGCTGCTGCTACATTTCTTTTCTTCGCATGTATTTGTTCGTGTGTATGTATAAAGAGTGTTGCTCTGGTTGTTAGAAGGGGCATCGACCTCGTGAAATCTGAAAAATCTTGGCTTTCATCATGAGGCGTCATAATTCTTCCTTTAACTCTCTGGGCAGAGATTAAATGGTTTGAATTATTTTTTTCTGGTTTGTCTTTTTTTAGCGAGTTAGTTATTCTACGGGATGGGGTCGCTAACTCCATGCCCAACCCTCCTCCTTTACCTGGGCTTGAGACCGGCAGTAACTATGGAAGAGCTACAGGCGGAGTTAGTAGACAAGGTACTTACTTATAATATAAATACAATAAAACTGAAAGACAGAAGTAGTATACGATTTATCAAAGCTAGTTCATACAGTTTGACGATAATCTCAAGACATACATATTGATTATCTCAAGTCATCTAATATCATATAAAGAAACAAGGAAACCTAAAGATTATCTTTTAAAACGTCACATTTAAAACGTTAGATTTACAAGCTGGATATGGTCTTTCTTCCAAATAAATTATTTAACAGCCTCTTTAATTGGTTGTAAGTATCTAAAAGGAAACCTATATTAGAGAACACATTAGATACCTACTCAAGTTTACTGTTAACATCGAGCTTGGATTAATGAGTATCAGTTACTTAACTGGTAATATTTTTAATAAATTATGATTTTAAGTGCTTAAATTAATCATATTAAAATGTAATGATTATAGTACAGAATACTGAGTACATGGAATACAGTTATTATTTGAAACCGACAAACTGTATTCTATTGTTTACCCAAGATTTTGAAAGATTTAGTTGTGAAATTTGCTATAAAAAATATTAAAAATTGATTCCAATTATGTTCAACATGATTCTTCCTCAAACAAACAATACCAAGTGAATTCAAACTTCACTCTATTGCACAAGGAAATGGCTATCAGAACTCAATAGTTAAGTGAATAACGGAATGGCGTTTGAAGCGAACAGTACTGGGTTCGAGTACCAGAGTGAACATCTAGCTGACGAGTCACAAATAAGACGAAATGCGCGTCCTGGATTCCACTGCTAGCCACTGTCCATCTTTGCTCATAATGCTTATAAATTAAGGCTATATCGATGCAATACGCATGGTATGCACATATACCAATAAGAGACTGATCAATTGCAGTCCTAACACATCAATATGAAGATTCAAACAAACAATACCAAGTGAATTACTACTTTTCCTTAGTTGTTTACAGATTTAATAAAACCAGTACAATAATTATAATTCATACAGCATAAATTAACTTTATTCTTTATAGTTTGGTAAATAACTTTCAAACTACAAAACAAAAGACGAGGTTTTCATTGCCTCTTTAAAGCTTTCAGTTATAGAATTTAGGGAAAGAACAATGTTTTTTAGAGAAAGAGTATGAAATTCTTTTTGTACATTATAAAATCATGTGTTTGCTGTAGTGTCCGCAACAATTATAACCACTCAACTCAACTAAAAAACAAATTTTATATTGAGATAATCAGCTGATCAATTTTAAACCACCTGTGAAAACCTGGAAGCATTTGATGGTCATTTCGTCCAGTATGAGGCTCTTCAGTAGACTGCACCTACGATCCTGCACGTGGAACTCCAACATAAAACTTTCGATCTCAGTGGCGTTAAAATAGTAAAAATTACCTTACTCTGTACGTAATATGATGTACAATAACTATGATTTCTATGTATGAGAGTGAGAATAATAATGTTTGAACTATCACAACTACAATAAAATATAATCCCAAAAATATACTGACTGATTAACTATTGGTGATATAATATCTTCATATTCGAAATCATGAGTGAATTGAAGCTAGAACATTATCGAAAATCTGGAAACACTGTATGGCCGTTTCGTCTTATCATGTGACCCCTCAGCAGTGCGCATCCACGATACCGCCTCGCAAGATTCGAACCCAGGACCTAACAGTCTTTCGCCAGAGCACTTAACCAACATAGCACTGAGTCGGCATCCAACGGTATTAATGAAAATACTGAAATCTCCACAAAATCCCTTCTGATATAATATCTGTAAAAATAATAAAAATGTTATTTTTATTTGTTTATTTATTTTAAGATCGCTCAAAGTAATTGGTCTTTGCATGAAACAAAACGTTATACACCAGGGGATTATTCTAACTATGACACTAAACAAACACAATTTAAAACAGGAACAGAAGCATCATCACTGTTGACAAATTCAAAAGATTTTCAAAATTTACAAAGCGATCTCCATTTAACTGATGAAGATTTTTCTGAAAATTTGTTAAACTCAAAGTTACTTCATCAAGATATATCTAAACAAACAATAATGGAAGATCGGTCTGATGTGATTAATTCCAGGAGAGGAATACAACGGAAAGGAGATAAAGGTATTTAAAATGATCACTATTATCTTAAAATAATTAATAAATACTTTTATATTCTTTTTTCATTGAAGTGAATCTAAGCATTAACAATAATTTCATTCATCGAAACTAAGTAGTGGTCATAGGGAATCCGAAAGTCAGACTTTCAGACTTAAATTGAAAACAGACGTGTAGTTTATTTTTAGAAAATGAAATTAGATGTATAATTGACCGACTGAGCATAAGCTATGTTGAGTTGATCTCACGTTTTACATAAAGTACCTTCAGTACGTTTCTGAAATTGCGGTTTTTCACTTAAATGAGTAACACCCAGTTACGATAACATGCAGTGCAGTTATAATTAAGTACTCCGTAAACTCTTCCAGGGAGTTCTAATTAGTTTTTTAAGCAACAGACTGAAGCTAATTTTTGTTGCTGAGGTTGATAGCAGACAAGTTGTATTTTTATAAATTCCAAGACATTTTACTACAAATCATATCGTAGTTTATGAGCCACTGCTGCTTTTCGAAATGTGTTTACATTGAACGACTACATAAAACGAGCCTACAAAATTTAAGATGTAAACTATTAATATAAACATAGGCAGAAGGTCTGAGCATACATAAAGGGAAAAGCAAGATTCTCGGATACAAAGCAACATGAGCCAATCAAATCACACTTCACCGAGAAGCTTCGAAAGATTTAAAAACCTACGCATATCTGGGCAGCATCATTGATGAACACAATGGACCTGATGGAGATGTGAAGGCACGGATCGGCAAAGCAAGAGTGGCAAATCTACAACTGGAAAACGTGTGCAACTCAAAACAACTGCCAACCAACACTGAAGTCAGAATTCTCAATACAAATATCAAGACAAATACACTGTATCGGGTGAAAACTTGGAAATAACTGTTGATGAAACCTTGTACTAAACCAGATTTCAATCATCCTATATAACAAACATTGAGGTCTATAGAGAGTTTGAAGTATTTGAAATATACTTTCTACTTATGTTCATAGAATCACTAAATGTTACATATGTCTACAAAATCTGCTTCCTATGTTACAGGCAAATAAAAAATTCATTAGCCTTTCAGGTTACTGAGAATAGCAATTGAAATAAAAGTGACACAGATACTATTTGGTTCATAATGTCTTGTTTAAAAGAATTAGAAAAAGAGCCTGGTAATGAAGAAATAATATTAGTTTTTATAAATAATTTACTTATTGTGGTCAATAAATACCTATGCTGAGAAAACTTGGTGAACTAATCTGGCATAAATTCCTCATTCTTAACCGACTTAGGGCACTTATTTGGAACGAGCAACTTAATGCTCAAAAGCCCAATACACATCCGAGTACATTTTTATGTCTCAACAATTTGAATTATCTCTTTTCAACATATACCTCAAAAATTAAAAGTTTCCTTTAAGTAACGTAATAATTACACGATGACTAACATGGATTTAACATGATTTGAATTGATAGGGACGAGAATTTTTTCAAGGAGCATCAGTTCCTTCAGGATTATAGTTATGTCTTGCATGATTAGTTCCAACTAAAACCAAAACTGGGTTCAAAGCATTTTATCAATTAAACCCAATTACTTAATACCATAGAAGGTGTATCGTGATTTTGAGTAACCTAGATTATTCATTAATAACAATCTTCAGATAGAAAGCTCTTTGTTACTTAAATTTTAAGCCAGTTAACTTATTTCCAATCTTTTCTAATTTCATGAGTATTAAAAAAAACGTAATCCAACATTCTAAATAGTTTGCTTCATTTAAATAAAAAAAATTGGATCTATTTTATTCGTATTATCACAATTATTGTTTCATTACAATACAACAAATAAACTCATTTTGTTACCAAGTACATTCTACAATCGACTTGGTTAAAATACTGAGGTATATAACCATTGATTACTTGTACATACAGCAATATATGAATGTTAAAATGATATAATCACTTTATTAGTAAATACCATTAGTAGTAGTATTAGTAGTAGTAGAAGTAGGAGGAGTATTAGTATTAGTAAATACCATTAGTAGTAGTAGGAGGAGGAAGAGTGGAACCAAGTACAGTACAAAATGTGTTAATACAAATAAAAATGATTAATAACATCCTTTCAGCTTATCATAACCATAGATAAACATTTTACTTTAGTAAAAAGAAAAAAAAGGAGCATCACTTTTATCTTTGCCAATAACTTTCATCTTCTTTTTTTTTATCAGAATGATATTTTAATGATTCAAGTATGAATCAGTTATAACATTTTACTTGGTATTTTGTTAAATACCATCATAACCATCATCATCATCCTCTTCTTCATCTTGATCATCATCATCATCACCATCATCATCTTCATTAATATCACTATCCTAATCATTGTATTTGTAGTTTACTAATTTGATTCTATGAAAATGTTAACTAATTGGTTCTGATTCAAACTAATTAATTTATCTATAAAAAAAACAGGAAAAAAAAAGAAAATTAGGTGTTTAGTAACAGTAAACAACTAATAATTATCATAGAATGTTAAGATAAATTACTTCTAGTCAAACTAATTTGTTAGACAGTAGAAGGATAAGTGTATCAAATGAATATATAGATTAGGTTAGGTACTTCTGAACACGGTGGATCAGATTCAAATGTGAGGGCGCGCATCAGCAAAGCAAGAGCAGCATACTTACAACTGAGGAACATCTGGAGCTCAAAACAATTGTCAATCAACACCAAGATCACAGTTTTCAATACAAACGTCAATACAGTTTCACTGTATGGGACGGAGACGTGGAGAACTACGAAAGCCATTATCCAGAAGATACAAGTGTTTATTAACAGCTGTCTACGCAAGATACTTCGGATCAGATGGCCAGACACTATCAGCAACAAGTTACTGTGGGAGAGAACAAACCAGATTCCGGCGGAGGAAGAAATCAGGAAGAAGCGCTGGAAGTGGATTGGGCACACCTTGAGGAAATCACCCGATTGCGTCACAAGACAAGCCCTCACATGGAATCCTGAAGGTCAAACGAGGAGAGGAGAACCAAAAAACACATTACGCCAAGAAATTGAGACAGACATGAGAAGAATGAACAAGGACTGGATAGAACTAGAAAAGAAGGTCCAGGACAGAGTGGGTTGGAGAAAGCTGGTCGGCGGTGTATGCTCCATTTGGAGTAACAGGCGTAAGTAATGTAAGTAAGTAAGTAAGGTACTTTTTTTGAGATTTTTGTTTGAAGCTAATGTATTAATATAAAAATTAACCCATTCTCATTTGTGTAACTTCGATTAGATTTAGAATGAATTAACTATTTCTTTTGAATACAAGCTTTAAAAATTCATTTGGCGTTGTATACTTGTATCTTCCTATTGTTATTTAGACTGCAATTGATCAGTCTATTGTTGGCATATGTGCAAGCTGTGCGGACTTCCTCGATATTGCCTGAAGTCACAAGCATCATAAGTAAAGATACATAATGGTTAGCAATGGACTCGTCAGAGTTGATGTTCACTCTGGAACTCAAACCCAGTACCGTTTTCTTTTCAAATGCCATAGCTTTATGCACATAGTTACTGAGTGAATATAACATCACACTACTGTACTTGCAGGTGGCTATCAGAACACAGTAGCCAAGTGGATAACCCGATGGCGTTTGGACCGAAAGCTACTTGGTTCTAGTCCCAGAGTGAACATCAGTTCTTAGATGCAGGTAAATCCAGCTGACATGTCCCAAATCGGACGAGAAGCGCGTCATGGATTCCACTGCTATCCACTATCCATCTTTGCACATCAAGGTTTAAAGAGTTTGCTGAAATGTATATTGATTAATCTGAAAGTTTACTAATTCATGTAGAGTGTTTAAATGTACTAAAATGTGTTTTCCTGTAAATCACTTTAATGAATGAATCAGTCAAGTGACTGTCATTCAATGGTCATCACAATCTAATGTTTGAACTCTAGTACAAAGGTTTGTTTGTATGAATAATAATAATAATGAGTTGTGAAATCTAGGATTAAATAAGTATTTTATGCTTGATATAACAAGCATAAAATTATAGAGTAACTTTGGTTATCTTCAGTTAAATATATTAGCTAAATATATCAAGTATTCTATTGAACTATTACATGTTTACTTTATAGGTCAAATATCTTATATTCAATAGTGAACTAATAAGTTATGAATATAAAAGTCATCATATTGAATAAATAATAAACAATTATACTTTAATATCAGAAGGGGTTTTATGGATATTATAGTAATTTCAATAGTTGAGATCATGAGTCAATTAATGCTGTACCACCATGGAAAACCTGAAAGCACTGGACGGTATTTCCCAGAGTTCTAGTGAGAAGCAGTGACCATTGGAGTTCAAATGGATCTGTTGTGACATAGTAACTCACTATAGACAAAGGAGGATGTGTTGCCCAATTTTGTGGATTGATTGAAGTTAGACATTAGCACCGTTGGATGTTGGCTCAGTGGTCTAGAGGTTAAGCGTCCAGGTGTGATAATGATATGTCCTGAGTTCGAATCTCGCTAGGCGGGATCGTGGATGCACACTGTTGAGGAGTTCTACATTAGGACGAAACGGCCATCCGGCGCTTTTTGGTTTTCCATGGTGGTCTAGCTTCAATTGCAAATATCATTCGCTACACAATCAATTAATTAAGTCATTGGTTATTATTATCAAAATTTATTTTGATTGTACAGATAATTTTTTATGATGGATTTACATCAATTTGGATGTAGTTGAAAATCAGAGAAAAGTAGTCAATAAGTGATTTTATTGGAGATTGAACCAAGGGAAATTTCGTTGAGCAGCTAGTATGATGATTGTCCGGTAATGTTGATCGTGATATACAAAATAACTTATTACATTTAAGTTTACTTTATAATACGAGTATTGTAATGAATAGTTCTAAATCATATTTTGATTGAATAACAACGAAGGAATTACCATTATACCTACTTAAAAGAAATAAAGTCATCACAGTCATTAATAAAAGAACTATATTAACATTCAAAGTATGTATACTTTAGACAGTGTTGACGAATGATAATGGAATTTTTGGCCGGATACAATTTTTCACTTTGTTATGGTTACAAATAATTTTACATAAACAGATCTAAGTAACTATATTAGAAAAAAATTATAAACTTTATCACGTTATTATTTGAACACATAAACATTGGTACCAAAGGTCATCTAATACATATTCGCCACACAAGTCATTTGATTTGTGTGTGAGTTGTGATACTACCCGGGTGCCCAGACCGAAGCAGGTAGTTTTCATAGGGGGCCATGCTCCGAGCCTTTAACCCATAGGTCTGATCCACAAGGCAGTGGAGCATCGTGAGGAGATGCAGTGCCATGGTAGTCGGTGACCAACAATAGGTTCATACGCCATTCGTTTCCTGAGGATCCTGGAGCACATGTGCACCATTGGTTTGGAATCATGGTTTTCTCACTATCACTAGGTGAATCCACCGTATCCACCAATTCAGTTAAAGTGCCGGACATTGGCTTTTCGTTCTCTCAATCTCGTGAACAACACTTGCATTGTGAGAAAGCAGAGAGTAGTACTCCCCTGACAGTGGTTGTATACGCGTGGCTGCGTGACAGCATTTCTAGAGGGAGAGCTAACTTTCCCCACCCTCGGCCTTACTAGGGCATTTAGAGGTAAAGCATTACCAAGTTGTATCTTCTCATTAATTCTATATAACAATTAGGCTACAGAAAATATCTATTGATTGAAATACATTATTAGAAATACATATGTTAGACAAATGGTTTTCACTGTTTCTTTCACTTTAATACACTAAAACAAAAATAACCTTACTAAAGATTAGCAATGGTTTATTTTATACTATTTGATTATGCTTCCAATTGTTTTTTAGTATTCATTACAGAATATTTTGTTTTTCTTTTCCTTATGACAATGGAACGGTTAATTCATGTAGGTAGTCTAATGGTTTTAAATTGAATTTTGAACCATTAATACTTGAACATAAATAAACAATAACATGGTTTATCCGAGAAGAAATTAACTAATCATTAGAATATAACATTAAATCGATCAAGATTAACTTGCAGTAAGTTATGCTTCATATTCAAGGATAGTTATATATGAAGTAAATCTCATAAGGTATTTCAGTAAAAGAGACTAATATTTAGTGGAAAGGAATGCATTTACTGTTAAGTGTATTTAATTGAATAGTTTATGAGGTATAGTTTCATATCAGCTGTTTGTTATTTCCAAGTTGGTTCGCAATTGTCCTCTTCACTTTAAACTAATAAATTTTGAAGTTAGATTTCATTTTATGAACCATGGAAATAATCAACATTTAATAACATATAAAGTAGAATAGGGAGATTCTTTGTTTCTAATCAAGAAACTACAGAAAACTAAAGATTATCAGATCAAGTTCAAAATAAGAACAAATTGTTTCTAAGCACATGAAGGTGATAGATTACCAAATCTTCTGCGCTTCCAAAAACTCAAGAACATATTCACATAATTTACATATGGAGATTTGTAGGTTGTTTCAGGGTTAATACGAAAATTTATCTCTCTTACGAATGGATATAAACGTGCATGACAGTCTACAATATTTATTTATTCGGGCTTGCGATTCTTCCTTGTGTAATTTATTAATCTCAAACTACTATGAGTAGTAAACTACTAATTATCCTATTAAATTAAAAATAACGCTTAGGTACACGAAGTTCTATAAGGCGAGGTAGATTTCAGACTCATAATTCTCTAATTGAAGTTAAAGCTCTGATTCTAATGAACCTTCATTTCATCAGGGGGGTGATGTTGAATTGTTTGTAGATCACTTTGAATACCATTTGTGTTCACTGTCTAGCACGTAGTGTGCCACCAAAATATGAAGACCATTTTCTCCTCGAAGGTGCAAGTTTTTGGGAATTCAATCAATAAATCGTGTAAAAGTTCGTATTTTTGTCCTCCAAATATACATGCTTTTAAATGATGTTATATGTAGATGAAAGTTGAATATGTCATGTATTTACCAATCATTATTTGAGTGTTAAGTTATATACAATGAGAGGCATTTCTCTGCTGAAAATGTACTTTTTAAAGTACGCCTAAATCTAATAATAATAATAATAATAATAATAATAATAATAATAATAATAATATAATATTATTATTATTATTATAATTATTATTATTAATCCATCATCCAGTAGAGTATATGTCTAGCTTCAGTAAATTCGTTATATTGCGCGATTATCTTTCACTACCTTCGGTGAATAACTATCTACCACTCGACAAAGTTGAACTTTTATGTTTATTAGTGAGTAATTTTAAACATAACCTATCCCTAGTACTTATTGGAAACTATAATCGCCTTGATATTCATAAATTTCTTACACTGTTTCAGAAATATTAGTGATCTGCAATTATTCACAAATTTATTTTAAAATGTAAGTCAGACAATATTATTTAAGAACCATGTTACTTGGAGGAAAGGAAAAATTGATTGTACTTTAGGGCTTATCTTATAAAAGGGTACTTACTGATAAAATCATCCTAATGATTTCACTTAATCGCGTAGAAAACATAGAAAATAAAGAGGTTGACTAAAACTTTCTTTTACTCCAATCATCTCATTATGAAGTATTGATATCGAATGTCCAAACGATCACTTGAAATAACACTAAACACAGTCAAAGTAATAAAATGTGTCACAAACTATTTAATTACTAATAAGTAGTTAAAATGTATCTCAAATAAATGTGTCATTTTGTTTTCAGGTGATGGAAATATTGAAACTGATTCAAGTCGTATTCTTACAGAAAATTTTCAATTATCTTATTTCAATCCAGTCAAATCAGCACACTCGAAATCCTATAGTATGAATATGTTGTTAGCAAGACCAATCTATGTAGCTATGGGAATATCATTAGCTATTCTTTTATTTGGGCTTATTTTCTTATCATTTGCCATTTTGATATATCGAAAGAATAAACTTTTACATACTTCTAATTGTCGGACAGTTTGTACTTATTCACGCCACAACAGAAATAGCATTACTTCACCTATAAGTGAGAGAGTTATTTGTAAAAATGCTACAGGGATATCAGAAAATACAGACAGGCTGCATAACTGGAATCAACCGATTGCTGTATTTCCAAATCAACATTCAACAGATGAACCACTTTTATTAAACGGTATCAGTTCAATTGAAAGCATGAATCCTTCTACAGATTATCGGACGTTAACACTAATTAAAACTAAAAGTAAATGGTTGAAATCAACAGGTTACACAACATCACCAGAGTGAGTTTGACTTAGTGAATTCTCACTAATTTTTTCCAGATATATTAAATCATGAATAAAGTCTACCTAAGTGTCCTGTTATGGAAAGCTGAATATTTCCACTAAGAGATATATGATAACAGTATTAAATGTTTACTGAAAGTACTTAACTAGTGGTTTCGAGGCTCACATAAAGAGTTATTCAGTGTTAAATAGAATTTCTATATACACAAGTATAAATCAACAAATAGTGAGAAATCCTCTTGAAGATATATACATCTATAAGCTTTGTTTTTGAGAAAGCTAACAAGAATATAAGAATTTTTAATTATTCGAAGGGGTTTTGTGGAGATTTAGTATTTTCATAGTTGAAAGCGTGAGTCAATTGAAGCTAGACCACCATGGAAAACCTGGAAGCACTGGACGGCCGTTTCGTCGTACTATGGGTCTCCTCAGCAGTGCGCATCCACGATCTCGCACTCGCGAGATTCGAACCCAGGACCTACCAGTCTGGATCCAGAGCCCTTAACCGATATACCCACTGAGGCGGCCGGCATCCAACGGTTTTAATGTCTAACTTCAGGTGATCCACGAAGTTGAGCAACCGTTCACCAATAATAGGACGAAACGGCCGTCCAGTGCTTCTAGGTTTTCTATGGTTGTTTATCTTCGATTAACTCAAGCTTTCAACTATGAAAATCCTAACTGTCCACCTAACGAAAATATATCAAATAAATAGTAACATTTTTACTTGTGGTCACTGATTTCAATTCATTCTGCATGATACAAAAAGATAGTTTGTACCTAAATGTATAAACTACTAGTTAGGATGAAGAAGGGTTTATTCTCTGTTAAAAGGAAGTTAAATGCATGAATCTTCAGGTCTTATGAAACCCATGATCTTTGGTAAATTTAAAAACATGACATTTAATAATACACTTAGTGAAGTCACCTTAGAGTTTAGAAGAAGCACGTTAGTAGAGTGCATTACGCTTAGTTGGAGTAAACGTGTTAATTGTCAAGAATTATCAGTTTGAAATTATCGTCAAATACTAATATCACCTAGAGTATCACGAAAGACTAAGCAGAGTAAAATGCCTACTGTTTCTTAGCGTTATGACTATTTAGTGTCCAAGACTTCTTCAGAAAGTATTAATAAATGAAGAAGTATAAATAGTATGTAACTAGAGTAATATATTTAATAAATCTATCTTAAAATAAGTTAAGTTAGAATGGAGGTTTGCGGATGTTCTAGGGATTTTAATAGTTAAATTCATGAATCATTGTAAGCTGGACCACCACTGAAAACCTAAAGGCACTGGTTTGTCGTTTCGTCCTAGTATAGGGCTCCTTAGGAGTGCTCATCTACGATTCTAAACCAAAGGGACTGGAAACTAGGACCTTCAGTCTCTCACACGAATGTCTAACCTCTAGACCACTAAGCCAGGATCCGATGGTTTTATTGTCCAAATCCAATCGATCCATGATTTTGCACAACCATTCATCCATTTTCCAATCTGTATCGGGTAGGGACAGGTATCTACCTCAGACAATGGATCGATTAAAATTAAACATTAACACCACTGGATGCCGGTTCAATGATCTAGAGGTTAATTGTTTTCTCGCGAGACTGAAGATTCTGGATGAATGCACACTTCTGAGGAGTTCTATACTAGAACTTCACGACAATCCAGGTATTTTTAGGTTTTTCATGGTGGTCTAGCTAACACTATCTCATGAATTCAATCATCATAAGTTAAATCTTTTGAATTTGATATATTACATTTTAGAAAGAAAGAAAATATCTATAAAGAAAATTTGTTAACATATTACTGCAATCATTGTATATGCTGTTATTCTAATAATGATAACAATGTTACTCATGATACAAATAATTTCAATCATTCAATAAATAAAAACTTCAAATCATTCATTAACTTATCACAATTCAATAAAAGAACTATAACCAATGACATTAATAATGATAATTTACATCCAGTTATATGTGAAACAAGTGAATTTAGTTTAAATACAGATAATCAAAAACATGAACCAAGTAGTATATCTACACCATTGTTTAGTATACATTCATCATCTACTCAACAATTAACAGATTTAATTGAATATAAAAAGTTAAATACTACTAATTATAGTCATAGTAATAACAACAGATTATTAATTAATAATCAAGATACATTTAAATGGATCAAAAATCAACAATCAACTAATCAGAATTCAATGAAATTTCAACAATTACAAAAGAATATACAACGTCCAATTCATTCAATGTTGAATGATTTCAATGGAACCTATTCTGATTCTAGTTATTTATATGATATGGATAATAAAAATAATAATTCAGATTATGAACATATTAAAACAATGAAAAAACAGAAATTTATTGAGATAGAAACAAGAAAAAGTAATACAATACAAGTAAACAATAATATAGATTCATTCTCTTCTGTAGTATGTAATGATAAAAGAAGAAATACACATTGTAGTAGTAGTAATAGTAGTAGTAGTGGTGGTCATTTAGAAAACGGATCGATAAACCAACAATCTGTATTACCAGTTCAATTTACTGATTTAGTTTTTCCTCATCTACCACCACCTCCATCTTATCCACCTCCTCCTTTGTATCAACAACAAGAACCTCAACAAAAAATTATTGAAATATTCAATCCTCATAACTCTACTAATGCTAATAATACTAATAATATTAATAATAATAATAATAATAATAATAATAATGATAATAAATTGTTTAATCATAAAAATACTCTATTTGTTGACTTACATCGATTTGATATACTTTTACAACGTCAAAGAGGTACTGGAAAAACAAGTAGCGGTGGTGAAGATAATAAAACAATAGAAAGTGAACAATCTGATATCATTCAAACATGGAAAATATCTGATTCAAATGAAAATAATAATGAATTGAATACTGTTACATTAGATCATAGAATGATTCCTTTGAACAATAATAATAATAATCAATTTCATAAATGTTCACCTGATTTAAATAAATTAACTGGACATAGAATGATTGAAACAGATTTGATTGGTTTAGCAACTTTTCGTAAAGCTGACGAGAAATGTGTAGATTTAGTTACACCATATGCCCAATTTGATTTATCACCAGATTCAAATCTGTGTATAAAAGCTGAATAATAAGAAAAAATAATAACAATACATCATTCTATTTTATACATGAACACATATGCAAGATCAAAATGTAAATAAATTCACCTTATACATTTATATTGGTATCAGAATGTCATTTAAATTGTACATTTGCACTTAATTTATACGAAATGAATAATCTTACTCTCAGTATTTAAAAGACATTTTATGAGTTAAATATTTTTTTTGTAGTTTGGTATTAGCCTTATGAGCAAAGATGGAGGGTGGCTAACAGTTGAATCTAGGATGCGCGTTTCATCCTATTTGGGATTCGTCAGATGGATGTACTTGCATCACAGAGTTGATGTTCACTCTGTGACTTGAATGTAGTACCGTTCACTTCAAACGTCATAACGTTATCCACTGAGCTATTGATTCCTGAAAGCCACTTGTTTGTGCAATGTAATGAGGCTATCTGGATTCAGTAGTTAAGTGAATAACGTTATGACGGCACTGGGTTCGAATCTCATAGTAAACATGGAATCTATGATGAAGGTACATCCAGCTGACGAGTCTCAAATAGGACGAAGCGCTCATCGTGAATTCCACTGCTAGTCACTATCCTTTTTCGCAATCCACACAGGATGCATATATGGCAATAAGAGACTCATCAATCTCATTGCTAATCATCAACGAGAAGATTCAAACAAACAATACCAAATGTATTGGCCCTGTTTCTTAAAACTACTACTCGAAATTTCAGTGAAATGTGTGCAGTTTCTGTCGGGCACATAAATATTGATGAGTACTAATAATAATAATATTTCAACCGCTGCATATCAAAGTTAGGTAACCTGCTTTTGTTTTAAAGTCTTATTGAGTCTCTTACAGTGAAATTGGGTGAGAACGAATGTAGTTGAATGCTGAAAATGAAAATTTCTGGATAGTTCACATTTGCGATAAGTCATAAATTGTAGAAAAGATAGATATATCCACTAAATTATTAGGAATATTGAGGATATACAACAAAGGCATGAATTAGCAGTTTTGTTTCGGCAAGTCATAATGTGATTTAGTTTAAAACTTTTCAAAAAGATTCTTACAGTATGTTCATCCCATTTATTGCCAGAGGCAAATCACTCATTTAATTATAGTAAACAAGTACTTGTTGATAAGAACTCCCCTGATTTATCAACAGAATGACTGTCTAATCACAATTGACCACCTCCAATCACCATGGTACCTTAAGAATGACTGTCTACTAGCCCTGAAGACGGACTCAGTGATGGCGGTTTTCATTAATCCGTGGACCAGATATGTTAACTGTTGTCATTTTCTTCCCAAAGGTTGAAGCTGAAACGATTACGGTGTAGGAAGTCCTGAATAAACATTAATTTTTAGTTTAGAGTAAGCAGTCCTGTTTGATAGCTGCCTTCACTTGCTGTGGATCAGTCAGCTGCCCTCCATGCACGAGTTTGTAGTGTAGTGCATCGTTAGAACTCCTTATGATGTTGACGATGTTCACAGGTGCATCACAATGTTAAAAGGAAGTTTTATCAGGTTCTCCTATCTACACTGTTAATTGCTTTTTCATAGTCGGGGAAGTTGATGTTAATGGATGTGTTCCATTTAATTGATTGTTCAACGATGATCCGTAGTTTTGCGATGTTGTCTGTGCGTGACTGATCCATATATAATCCGGCCTGTTGATCTTGAAGTCGAGCGTCTACTGCGTCTTTCATCCGGTTCAGCAACACTCTGTTGAAAACCTTTCCTGTTACTGACAGTAGTGTGATGCCTCTGTAACTGTGTCCTCATATTTTCTCAGATCTCCTTTCTTTGATATCGTGATGAGTTGTCCTTCTTTCAAGTCCGTTGACCCTTGTTTCTCCTACCGAGTCTTCTTGAAGAAAAGGTAAAGCATGTTTGCTGTTACTTCAGTGCCAGACCTCAGTGCTTCAGCTAGGATACTGTCAGTTCCTGCTGCTTACCTGTTCTTAATTTGTCTGATGTCCATCCTGGTTTCTTTCATCGTTGGTAGAGTGACTTCTATAGCAAGGTCTATAGATGCTGATTCGATGTCCGGTGGATTCAATGGGGTTGGTTTATTCAGCAGTTCCTTGAAGTATTCTACCCATCTGTTCCTTTGTTCTTGAATCTCAGTGATTGATTTGACTTGTTTGAGCTTGACTGTCCTCTCTGGTTTACTATTTTTACCTGCTAGTTTTTTCGTTGTGTAATATAGACGTTTCATATACCCTTCTCTTGCAGCTTTCTCTACTGTCGTTGCTAAGTCTTCCACAATTTTCTACTTGTCAGCTTTAATGCTCCTCTTCACTAGCTTGTTTACTTCTGTGTATTCAGCTTTTATCATGACTTTCTCTGATCGTTTTCGACTGTTACTAATTGCTGTTTTCTTCTTCCTTTCTTCAGTCTTGTCCAGGGTTCCTATAGAGATTCATTCCTTATGAATATGCTTCTTGCGGCCCAGAACCCCCTGACACGTTTAAGGTAATATTTTGCCCTCCTTCGAGTTATCTTCCATGGTAGCTTTATCTTTCAAGAGATCCTGTAAGGCTTGGAACCTGTTGTTGAGAGTTATCTTGAATTCGTGGAGCTTGTCAGTATCTCGAAAGAAGGCTGTATTGAACATTTGTAATGCTGTTTGTACAGTTGTCCAGTGTTTCTCTAGCCTCAGCTTCATCTCGGCCACAACCAGATGGTGATCTGAAGCTACGTCAGCTCCTCTTCGAGTTCTCACATCTTCCATTGTCCTTCTGAATTTTTGTTGATACAAATGTGATCTATCTGGTTCTCTGTGGTGTGGTCCGGTGAGATCCATGTAGCTTTGTGTATGCGTTTGTGTGGGAATATTGTGCCGCCTATAACCAATTTGTTGAATGCACATAGATTTGCGAATCTCTCCCCATTTTCATTTCTCTCTCCTAGTCCATGTCGTCCAATTATATCTTCATATCCTGTGTTGTCCACTCCGACCTCAGCATTTAGATCTCCCAACAGGATGGTGAGGTCCGTTCTTGAGCACTTCGTTATGAATAATTGCAGCCTCGAGTAGAACTGATCTTTATCGTCGTCGTTGCTATCATTGGTGGGTGCATAACATTGGATAACATTCATTGTGATCCCTTCCTTCTTTGTTTTGAATGATGCTTTGGTGATTCTAGATCTATGAGATTCCCATCCTGCAAGTGCATTTCGTGCTTCTCTGGACAGCATTAGAGCAACTCTCAGAGTGTGTGGAGCATTTTCTCCTTCGTGATGTAGTACAGATGCACCTCTCCCGTATCCAGTCTTTACTGTCCAGCTTGTGTCCAACGGGTTTCGCTGATCCCGAAAACCGCCGAATTCTCTCTCCTCATTTCCTTGCTATTTGACTGGTCTTCCCGGTCTTTCACATTGTCCGGATGTTCCACGTACCTATAAAAATTGTTTCCGTGGTTGATAGAAGTGGCATCGGCTTCGTGACTTGCGAAGTATCTCGGCTTTCATCATGAAGAGTCTTAATTCTTCCTTCAACTCGAAGTGCAGAGTTTAAGTGGTTTGAAATATTTTTTTGGTTAACGTTTTTTAGCGAGTTACCTTTCTTCGGTGTGGAGTTGCTAACCCTATGCCCAACCCTCCTCCTTTGCGTGAGCTTGAGACTAGCAGTAACTCTATAAAGAGCCACAGATGGAGTTATTTCGTACTGGTAGCGTTGATTTACGGCAAAGACATGGCAAAACAGTTCACAAATGGTAGGCAAAGTCAACATTTAACTGAAATTAGAAAAGCCGTTGCCCTACGATAAAGCGGAAACAATTTGTGACGTTACCACAAACCATTCAAGACCATATTTTATTTGGTTTTTAACTTGTCCAACAGCCGTTAGTATCGAGACAATATTACAGTGACAAATCAAATCGTATCTAGAATATCAATAAACAGATTATAAAAACTCTTAAACAGATGTTATCTGGTAAGTCGCAGTATCTCTTGAGCACAGAATGCTTGTTTTAGTTTATCTTTAAACCCATTAATCTTACTTAATTAGCTCATTCCAAATCTCTGGAATATCAAATGATGGTACACTTTTATGGTATTAAACAATAAAGTAGCTAAAATACACTGACACAAATTAAACAACATAATTATAAAATATGTACGCATACCAGAGGCTATCAATAATCCATCTTATTGTAAGTTTAAATATTATTACATGAAAGACGTTTACTCGTTAAAGTAACTAAAATGAATCTGAATACCCAGTATTCATTTAAGCTGAATGAATAGAGAAACTTTAGAAATCTAAACGAAGTTTCGATTTAACATTGATATCAGTTAACTAAACACTAGAAAGTGTTTTTATGCATTTTGGTGGTGGTGGGCAAAATGTAACTGCCATATTTATAATGATTCAACTGCAGGATGAGTGACTTATATGTTCAGCAAGAATCCACTTAATTTTCAACTTTACACTGAATACTGTGACAAATGGTTGTATTATTGGTACACTTTCAGTAATTTCCGATGTTGATTTATAACTAATATTTTATTGAAACCAGTCTATTCTTTTGGTAAGTTTAGATAATATAATAAGAGGACAAAGTTTATCAGAATTATATGATATATTACATGAGATTAATACACTTCAAACAATCTGATCACACATTTACTTGCTAAGGTAATTTTACATAAAAAAATAAGAGTTAGCTCGATAAATCAAAAGGTAAAAGATAAATGATTGTAATAACGAAAACACTGTGACTCATGCCACTGACTGATAAGTCCGTTTCTAACGATTGATTTAGTGTACGTACGAATTGTTTTTGAACGCGAGGAGAGTTAGACTTTCTTAAGAGGATAACAGACAATCAGACCTTCCGAATATCTCGCTAACCAATCATCTCAGAAGTCGAAGATGTTGAGATACGGAAGTGTATTGAAATTATGGGTCAATGTCTTTTAGTGCATGACATCTAAGCTGACTAGTTATCGTGAATGTGAGCAGTATAGAGTATCGAAAAGTATTTTGGTTAGGATATTCGACTGAACCTTTGGTGTGTCCAGTATTACTAAGGTAGCTAGCATCAGTATCGAAGACCTATAAAGTTACTTATTTTTGGGATTTACACTCTGTTGGATTCTGACTGGTTGAGCCTTCGAAAAATCTACCATCTACATAACGTCTGTACAAAATTACAAAGGCAGAGTTACAACCGTGCATGTAACCTGATTCAATTATGTGTTTAGTAATCGAGAAAGATTGGTATTGGTCATCTGCTATTACTGAGTCATTTGAGTTTATTTGTTTTTGGAGCCACTCTGGTACATGTTCAGATAATCTAATTTCGATATCGCGACTACTCATCCTGATGTTTATTTGGATACATACAAGTAATTTGAAAAACACAGTGGTTTGAAGCGCAATCGTTTACACTATGTTTATATTTTCTGTGAACCAAAGACCTTGTTTAAAAAAATAGTAATCAACTTTTGTTCACGTCTTAACAATAGTTGACTATTCGAGTCACCACTGTGTGATGAGGTAATATAGACAGGCTTATCTAGTTTCAGAAACGTAGTAGGTCTCAGTAAAAATCCCATCGATAAACGGTTTTTGGAGTATGACTGGCGAAAATTGATGGTTCTATCATGAAAAATATTTCAGATGTCATTAATCGTGAGGTACGTTTTACTGCTCCTTTATTCTTACCGTGTTTAACTAGCACGAAGAGAAATTTATAGAATAACTTAATATTTAAAAAAGTCATGTATTTTCTGGGATTACCAACCATTTACTTTTTTGTTTGTTAAGTCATTAATCACCATGTATTCTCTTGAATCATCATTTTTGTTTCCCAGATGCACAAGGAGAGATCGTGCTGTGCATCGTAGGACCTTGAAGAATGTAATTAGCTATGTTTTGGCTTTATTATGAAGATGTTTGATGATAGTTACTTGAAACCTCACAAAAAACTAGCATATGTTTTTTTATAAAAAACACACCGTTCCCTTTATTCTTCTGTACATATAGAACAAGACTCGAATACATAAGTATGCATTTTGAAGAAGAAAATGAAAAGACTCAATAAAATAGTGTTTATTACACATTATCCTACGAAGTTACAGGAGTAAAACGAAAATTTTTATAGTTGACGGTGCCAACCAGTATATCATTCTTATTCTATTTTAGTGATTCACAAATCTTATTGCCTAGAAATTACTAGCCCTTACACAGCTTTGACCAAACAAGCAGTCGTCAGTAAGTATTGGTTCAAAGCCTAATACTGAAAAATCAGCTTTTCCACGTTTTCTGATTTATGATAATTCATAATAAATAGAATATGATTGCATTTTACATTTGAATGATCAATAAAGAATACATTCTGCGAAAAATTTAAACATTTTTCGGCAAAAAGACTGAGTGAGACAAAGGTAGAGGTTGTAAAATAAACAGATTTTGTGTGTGTAAACATTCATTGGATAATTTGACCAAGACCATAAGATTTACATCAAAATGACTTAATCGTTGATCGCTTAGCGTATAAAAATGCCCATCAAATTGGTTTATTGATCTACTAAGTCATTAAAAGATGTGCACAAAACTAATGAAGTCTACTTGCTCAAATGTGAGTAGATAGTTTGGAGATGTTATTAATGATATGTTATTAATAAGACTTGTTAATTATGAGAGGATGGTGAAGATTTGTAGATCACGTGGATGTTTTTGATAGAGTTCTGTTCTCTGAGCTGGATGGTTTGGTCGTGAAGCTTTCAGCGCTCTTCTGAACGACATCATTAGCACAAACTTCAAATAGAAACGAAGTGTTTGAATTTCTCCACATACGGCTCTCAGTTTCTCCTATAGATCTCGATGTTGGCTGGTTCTTGTTAACTTTAAAGCTGTCATTGTTTACTTCTTTATTTTGGTTGTATCTCCACAACCAAACCATCCAGCTCAGAGAACAAAGGTTCACCAAAAATTTGTTAATTACATATCGCATAATATATCATAGGTGAATACTGATTATTACCAAGATAAATAACAAAATAAATAAATTTATGACATAGATTTAATATAGATTCAATAAGACTAAATACAATATCAGTTGAATCAGGATGATTATCTCTCTAACTTTATATAATTAATAAGCAATGATTAAAAAATATTCCCTAATTTTACGACCACAACTTTTGTTGGAGAATAGTTTACCGATACTTCAAGAATATATTCATATTGTAAAACGTTTTAAACCACCTTTTCCCAATAGTAAAAAAAACAGAAATTGACACTGTGTATACAACAAAATGGTTATGGGTGGAACTATATTACCCACAGACACATACACATAGCTACAGGAGTTTCATCAAACCTCAATACAGAGAACCACATTGACCACATTTCCATCAATAAAAAACTCAGAAGGTTCATCGAAAACATGAGAACAAAGGGAGGAGCTAACATAGCTTCAGATCACCACCTGCTCGTGACCAAGATGAAATTCAACTTAAAGAGCACTGAACAGATGAGCAAACAACATTACAAAATTTTGATAGTCTTCTTTCGAGATACTGACACATTCAACAAATCCAAGATAGGTATCAGCAGCAAGTTCCAAGACTTACAAGATCAACCCAAACAAGAGGAAACTACTATGGAGAACAACTGAAAGGGAATCGAGGAAGCGTTGCGGAAAAAATGGAAAACACACGGAAACAAGGTTGGTTGGAAAATATTGGTCGGCAACATATGAGAACTCTAACACATTGAAAGTATATCGTACAACCCTCCAACGTTAATAATTTACGTGCTAATATCAGAGTGAGAGAGAAGACTAGAATTTCAGGATGGTTCAATATACTAAATAGAAGTTCGAAATTGAATAAAATCAGAACAATAATTGAGGCAAAAGGGTAGGTAGTCATTATATTTTGTGGTTTCTCATGAATTGCTTACGCCTATTGATGTGTAATAGCGTGCAACACTGGTAAAGTGATCCACTACCTTCGTAAATTCACAGCTTTGATTAATATCACCAGCAAGTGTTTTCGTTATTATCATTTTATAAGTGTTCATTTTGTTATGCGGCTTTTGTCAAACTTATTCGTATTTCATGTACGCTGAAATCATCTTTCATTTACCGACTTTTTATTCCATTCAAATGATTCTCAAAACGTATGCAAACTCTACAAATTGTCTACAATTTTTATGTAACCCTTTGACAATTACTGCCTCATCTCACTAATTATATATTTCTTTTCAGATGATACGATACTTATTCGTAAAAGGAACCAATTCATGAAAATCAAAAATCGAAATGGAACACAATAAATTAACAAACTACGAATGACAAGAATCGATAAGATAAGAGTGAAAGACGACGGGGAAATACAAATTAGAAAGAAATTCATGGAATTTTTACTTTTAAAAAAAACAGGGAATAAAAAAACTAGATAGGATGAGGTCTACTTAGTGTAAGGAAAACTTGAATCTTAAGGACCCTGAAAGAAATGGCCATGTGTTTGTATTTCATATCTGTAGAACGATATAGTTATATTAAGGAAAACAACATAAAAAACCTCATCAAGGTCAGGTAAGTCGAGCAAATAAGTAAATTTCGGTCTAGTGTATGAATTTCGGGGAAGAAAGATAAGAATGTTAGGAGCTTGACTTATGAAACAACAGTCTCCCAATCCAGTAAAATATAGAAAAGTCTGACGAAAACAAGGCAAACACATATACAATAAATTTGGATCCAACAACGTTGTGAACGACCATAGCACCCAGAACGGGACAAAAACAATAAATATAAGAGCAGAAGTGGTTATGGCAGGAGTAGCCCACGTCGTAATAACATACATTAATTACACAAAATATGAGTTCAGAAGAATTAGTTGGAGCAGTAAAAAATTACAATGATTTTATCATTAAGTAACACGCGACAGATATGCAACTAATATAGCTACAAACAAATAACAAACAATGAGGGCAACATCACAGAAACGCCGTTTAGTGTAATCTAACAATAAAAGTAATAATAACATCATTAAGCCAGTATTGTGGAAAATCCATTGATAAAATTAACTTCCTAGAAAGGGAAAAATTAATTTTGGAATAAATAACAGCGAAACAAAGATTAGCTTATCATTTCATAAATCATGAATTTCAACAAACCACCAATCAGACTTACCTGAATCCTTAAGTGATGGATCCGAAACATTAACACGCAGAGTGGAGCTTCGACCTATATAGGATGCAGCAGGTGGGGGAGGTGGTGGTGGTGGAGGAGGAGGTGGCGGAGGTATAGCTAAATTACATTCATTTTGGATTTCCTAAAACCAGTGAAAGGAAGTATCAACCACTATCATATCATATGAATAAGGATGACAAATTACACTCAAGTAAAACATCATCAAATTAGACTGATCAGATATTATGTTTACATTGCATACATACCAAAAACATTGAATTCCCACATTCATATGGAAAAGAGATGATGAAACAGTCACAAATAAAATCCGCCCACCATACAAATACAAAACCACAATAATACATTTACTAAATACGACTCAATGTCTTAAACCATTTAGTCAAAACACTAATGAGTAGAAAAGAATCTGAGGTCAATGTGACTGAAAGAAAAACCTGAACAGACAGTACAGCTTCCAAAACAGATAATTAACAAATCGTATGATGGTTCACGAAATAACACTGATCACTGTTATTAGTCTATTCTATAGATGGAAATAAATTGTAAATATATTTGAATTTTTAAAAAGTAGGACATTATTTATCTGAAAATACTGGCTTCAGTGTGTTTGGTGCAAATCAAGTGTACGGAAGACCATCTTTCAACCAACCTGTATCCCTTCTTCGTTCACTGTTGGTCCAAGACCGGGATAAGTGTGCACGTTTGTACATCGGTTTATTGAAACAATCGCATATAAAATAACCTTGCTCGAAAATAGCTAATCTGAAAAATAATTTAAATCATTCAAACTCTCTCCTGGTATTTGGAGGACCTCAATTCAGAGGAGTTATGACGGCCTCAAGTGAAAGACGAGGTTTATCAGAAGTCATGAGACCGACGCCCCTTCTGACAACCAGAGCCACAACCAGTATAAGTACATGGAATATCCAAAGAGTAGAGGAGACCGAGAGGACCAGTAGAATCAGGAGATAAAACATGGTGGTGTTCAGAACAAGTTAAACCCCCCTGAACCCAAGATAGACAGAAAACATAACCTTGAAGAGAGAAATGTTATTGTACTCTAGTCATGGGGAACAAAATATCTGGCACACACCAACAGTTGCACTGATGATTTTCGAAGAAGCACGAGAAGCACTTATGGGATGGGAATCTCGTGGAACTAGGATCACCGAAACATACTTCAAAACAAAGAAGAGAGGATCACAATTATTGTTATACAGTGCTATGCGCCCATCAATCATAACAACAAAGACGATAAAGAACAATATTATGAGAGACTGTAGTCGATCGTAGAGAAGTGCTCACAGATAGACTTGATTGTCGTGATGGGAGACCTAAACCTCAAGGTTTTGATATGCAATATCGACTATGAAGATATCATGGGACGACATGAACTAGGAGAAGTCACGAAAATTGTGAAGGGTTTGTAAATTTATGTGCATTCAACAAAATGGTTATGTGTGGAACTATATTACCCACAGACACATACACATAGCTACAGGAGTTTCATCAAACCTCAATACAGAGAACCACATTGACCACATTTCCATCAATAAAAAACTCAGAAGGTTCATCGAAAACATGAGAACAAAGGGAGGAGCTAACATAGCTTCAGATCACCACCTGCTCGTGACCAAGATGAAATTCAACTTAAAGAGCACTGAACAGATGAGCAAACAACATTACAAAATTTTGATAGTCTTCTTTCGAGATACTGACACATTCAACAAATCCAAGATAGGTATCAGCAGCAAGTTCCAAGACTTACAAGATCAACCCAAACAAGAGGAAACTACTATGGAGAACAACTGGAAGGGGATTAAAAAATAATCAACTTCAACATGCCTGGAGGTGTTTGATTGCAATTAACACCATCATAACGAGTAGATCTCTATTGATATCCTGAACAAGAGTCAAGAAAGAAAGGACAAGGAAACAGTAACTAAGAACAGCCTAACAAGAGCAGAGAAAGCCAAGGCTCAAGAAGAATACACCAAAACAAACAAGCGAGTAAAGTGAAGAGGAAATATGTGAAAGGCCTAGGAATGACAGCGGAGAATGTTGCAACAGATGGAAATACGAGACAACTATATGATAAAAGAAAGAATCTACCAGGGAAATATAGTAAACCACAGTGACCAATCAAGGATAAAGAAGTTAAACCAAACACTGAGGTTCAAGAACAAAGGAACAGGTGGGTAGAACACTCTAAACAACTATTGAATAAGCCAGCTCCACTGAACCCATCTGACATCGAAGCAGCACACATACACCTTACCTTTAGCTGTTACTCCACCAACAATTGAAAAAATCAACATGGCCATCAGAAAAGTCAAAAGTGGGGAAGCAGCAGGACCCAACAACATACCAGCAGAAGCACTTAATTCTGACACAGTAGCAACAACAAAGATGCTCAACGTTCTATTCAGGAAAATTTCGGGGAGAGAAATATTGCCGACAGACAGGAAAGAAGGAAACCTCATAAAAATATCAAAGAAAGAAAATCACAGCAAGTATGAGAACTACACAAGCATCAAACCACTATCAGTACTAAGAATCGTTATCAACACAGTGTCGTTGAACCCGAGTACACGCCCAACAGGCTGGATTACGTCAGGTTCCATCGTGCACAAACAACTTCGCGAAACTACGGATCATCGTTGAACAATCAATTAAATGGAACACATCCATTAACATCAACTTCCCCGACTATGAGAAAACAATTAACAATGTAATTAAGAGAAACTGATAAAAATTTCTTTAAACATTGTGGTGCACCTGTGAACATCGTCAACATCATACGGAGTTCTAACGATGCACTACACTACAAACTCGTGCATGGAGCGCAGCTTACAGATCCAATGCAGGTGAAGGCAGATATCAGACAGGACTGCTTATTCTCACCTCCTCATTTTCTTCTGATGGTTGATTGGATTATGAAGACCTCCACATCTCACGGGAAGCACGCAATACGATGGACAGCTCGAGGTCAACTAGACGATTCGCACTTCGCAGATCACCCACTTTTTCTATCCCATACACACCAACAAATCCAGGTCAACACAACCAGTGTAGCAGCAGCCTCCGCATCAGTAGGCCTCAACATACACAAAAGAAAACACGAAATCCTCAAAAACAAAACCGAGAACACCAAACCAACCAATCACACTCTATGTAGAAACTCTGGAGCCGGTCAAAACTCTCATGTACCTGGTTAGCATTATCGATGAACAAGTAGAATCCGATGCAGACGTTAATGCGAGAATCGGTAAAGAAAGGGCATCATTCCTACAACTGGAGAACATATGAAACTCAAAACAACTGTCTGTCAGCCAACACCGAAGTCACTATCTTCAATACGAACGTCAAAACAATTCTACTCTACGGAACTGAAACTCCCAGCACTATTACAACCATCATCAATAATGTACAAGTATTTATCAACAATTGTCTACGCAGAATACCTAATATCCGTTGATCGGATACTATCAGCAACAACCTACAATGGAAGAGGACAAACCCACTTCCATCTGAAGAAGAAATCGGAAAAGATAATGGAGGTGGATAGGACATACATTGAGGAAATCAAACTACATCACAAGGCAAGCGCTAACTTGCAATCCTGAATGCAAAAGTAAAAGAAGCAGATCAAAAACGCAATGAAACAGGAATACAAAGCAGACATAAAAATGAATCGCACTACGGAACAAATGGAAAATACACCCAAACACAGAGTTGGTTGGAGAATACTGGTCAGAAGCCTATGCTCCACGAGGGATAACAGGAGTAATTAACTAAGATCACGTTGTTCACATTACAATTATTTAACGCTGTCCAATTTACTGTCTTGGACATCTTTAACTCAATTCATCACAATTATGATTATGGAGTGTTGATCAGATTAAGTATCTAAACGGTCGTAACAGATGTAGCAATATTGTTACGTTTCATGTAGTAAGTGTAATCAAGATCAATACGAAAGACACAATATTATTGACAAATTACATTTTATGATTTTGTTCAGCGTGAACAAACACGAATCCCAGGACCGGATACACAAACTCACCAAGATCTTTCAAATAAAAACACAACACTCCTTAGAATATATATTTTTCTAGGCAATATCCATAAACAAACCTTCTTTGTAATGGAATTCACTGTGGTATATGGTTTACATTCATGAGAATTTGATTGATTGTTCACCATATCTCATTAAAAAATTTTACAAATTAACAAAATATGAAAAGTCATATGTAATTTTCATAAGGAATGAATACAGTATGTTAACAAGAACAAGAACAACAAGCAACAATAAAATAGTTATATTATATTGTCTAATTTAAAAGTATAACTGAAGGATTCTGAGAATTCCAAGTAAAAAAATATAACAATAACAAAATAAGTAGAGTATGTTACATTAGATTAGAAGTACCTTTTTTGTTCTCTTTTTCAAAATATAAATTATGTAATACAAATCTTATGTTTATTAATGAAAGTCAACAAACCAAATTACATTCATATTCTGAATTGATTCAAATAAACAAAAAGAAATCATCTTATTCAATTAAAAGAAATGAGTTCGCGTGTGTGTGTGTGTGTGTGTGTGGGCGCAAGTAAGCAAAGCAACTGAATTATCTATCTCCATGAAAGATTTTCATGACCTGAAAACAAAACGCAAATAAACAATGGTATATTATGTAATAGCATCTTGAAAATAAGCTACCCATAAGCTATATAAGACAATATTATTCCTTAATAGCAAACAATATCAAATAGTGCAGTTACATATCAACGTGACTTTAACGAATGTGTGAGTAAGTAGATCATTGAGATTAGTTTCTCATTGTGATTTCACAACAAAAACTGATAGATTTGGCAATTGATGATAATAAAATCAATATGAATTAAGTGATGATGAATGACTTCCGAAATGTCTAGTTGCTCACGAAACGAGGATAAGTGAATCAATATGGTTTAAAGATTCGTTTATTGAATCAATTATTAAGTTGCGTTGCATGTTTACTTGAGTATTTTAAAGTACTTTGTAATTTCAAAACAGAAATTGACACAAACCAATATTAACTGTGATTAAATGATAGACATTTTGTTCTAGCTTGAGATTATTCAGATGTGGGGAAGTAGAGCTAACATAGGATGGAATAGATAATTTTCAAGTTCCACTAAAAGCAATATAATAACTAGTTATTAAATAAAGTTGCAAACTGAAATAAAACAATTGTTCAGAGTTCCTCTGGTCTTACAATGGTTCATGATGAAAATGAAATTTAGGCTATGTAAATATTCTTTAAAAAAATATTACAATGTATCCTATAACACTGGTTACTTGGGAAACTCAAAGAATTGCACAGTCTCACAATTACACAATAACTTGATTTAAATTATTGATTTGGTAACAAAATTTACAAGCATGGCTGTCATATCCTATTTAATCATTAAGTTACTTCATTAAGTCAATCAGATACAACCAATGTAGAGTCTAGTACAGATGCGCGTTGGTCACATCACATTGAAATGATCGGAAGACTTCGTTGGCTTTTACGAAATTACGTCATTTATGGCGTAGGCAAAATATCCATCTCCTAACAAAAGAAAGAGTTTACTGGGCAGCAGCTCGTTCCGTTCTACTTTATCGATGTGAAACATGAGCATTAAGAGTGTGAGATATTCCATTATAAATGTCTAACAAGCACTGATCGTGAATTATGAGACTACAAAATAAGCAATGTCTGGGTTAGAAATAGAGTACTAGGTAGAAAGATGAAATTGATTGATGAGGTAGTATTTCTTCATCAACTGAGGTGGATGGAATATGTGTTACGTATCCACAACCACTCCTTATATCGACACGCAATCATTTCTGATATAGGAGTAGGCTGGAAGAAAGCTAGGGGCCGCCAAATCAAGACATGGCATCAGTCATCGATGACAGTGACTATTGTAATGAGCTATAGATAGATAGATGTAGATACTTGGATCTGTGGTGATATTTAGATATATCTATGAACGCAATGTAAATTACACTAATTTCAAGGGAAACAAAGTATTCATAAACTTTATATACTTATCGCATTATCTAGAAAACAAATATTAATGTCAACAATTTAGAACGATGTTGAAATCAAAGTCATTTAATTCATGGAGCATAACCATAGATCAATGCACAAAATAAATCTACATCGAAGTATGTAAATTGTGAAACATACTTTATCACATTGATAGATATTACTTTGATTGATTATTACCAATAAGGTTCCAAAGCACTCTATGGTAATGACAACGATGTGTCCACAGAACAACTATCATCAGATTCTAGAACCGATGGCATTCTAGTGTTCGGTTTATCATCTGCATTATTTGAAGTATCAGGTGGATTTTGTCGAATAGCTTTACACACAGCAAAATGTTAGGGATGGAAAGAAGAAATATAGAAGTAACTGAATAAATCAATAAACCAACATCATTAACAAATAAATAACTCAAGAAATAATATACTTGGATGATGTTGAAATGTTAGCCAACGGAAGCACCTAGCAATAGAACAGCACAATCTCAATGTTCATGTATATCGCAAATGATGCTGGTAATGTAATATTATACTCTTTTTCTAATTTCACATAACCAGTTTAATGCTCAAAGTTATATCAATGAGAGACAAGTGTATATCACATTTTTTCTGAGAAAAATCACAATTGAAGCCCATGAACAAGGATACATTTTTAGGTCTCAGTTGAATGATTAGTGTATGTGTGGCTAAAAATATAGAAATGTCAAAATATGCAATCCAGTAAGCTTAAAAACGAGGAAATTTCTTGAAGCTCGGCATTCAGGTAACCTGACAATCAACAGACATGTTGAAATGGATACAAACAACCAGTTTTCAAGATGAACCAACCAAAGGATGATTAAATTAACAGTGATGAATTAATAATATTGGAATCAAAAATTCAATAAATCATAATAAAAAGTGTTTAGGGCAATGACTCACCTGAAATAATTTTGCCTCGATGAACAGGAAGTTTTTTTGAAAAGTCAACATTTTCGCCATCGATTAGACTAGTAGTTTTTCTTAAAGACTTGAAAGCATTTGTCAGTTCCGTAAGCATTTCTATACTGGGAGATTGTAAATTATTTTTAGGATTATTTGAAACTGTTGATGATTTTCTGACAGGTTCCACTCCTGAATCTTTAGTAAATTCAAATGTATTTTATATGATTCAGAAAGATACATAAATTCAGGACAAAGGTTATGAAAATTATTACTAGTAGTAGTATAATATACTAGATAGATGAAATAAACATTTCCAAAATGATAAAGAGGAATAAATCCATATTTTAAAACAGAAACAATAACTTTCCAGTGTAATATTATTGAGACACTCTAGGTGACATGGATCAGAATCGATCACAATGGCGTCGGTGTATACACTCTTTATCTTCCCTTAAGAATACATTTCAAGAACAACTGAAAAAACAGTTAGGCAGACATGTAAGTTGTTCCCACCCCGAGGCATCGTGGAATTATATCCGAAAAGCTGTGGAAACAGCAGTGATATCCGCTAGTAAGGTAAACCATAAGGTTAGGGAGAAACACTGGATCTCAGCAGCATCTACCGCACTGATGCATGCTCGAAAACTCATCCCATCTGGTTCTAAACATAATGAAGAGCGGAGTCAACCTAAACACAGGCTAATAAGAAGCCTACGCAGTGATCGTGAACAGTGGTGGGTAACGAAAGCAAGAGAGATGGAAAAGGCAGTGGCAATAGGCAACAGCAGACAAATGTTCAGACTTGTTAAGGAAACCGGTATTAGAAACCCAACTGATAGCGAAACTATCTCAGATAAAGATGGACATACCATTCATCCTCAATCCAGTAGATTGGATCGATGGGATCAGTTCAACTGGCCTTCAGCTACACTTCAGTTTACCACGATCCCCAGTCGACCTGAATGGCAAATTAATGTAAGTCCACCAACTCTTTACAAGGTTGAAAAAGCTATAGGAAATGTGAAGCGAGGGAGAGCAGCAGGCCCTGACAGGTTTACCTCTTAGATTTTAAGGATGGTGGTCCAGTACTAGCAGCGAGATTGACTAAGGTTTTAGGTAGAATCTGGGAACTGGACTTAATTCCATCTGACTGGTCCCAATCACTGATTGTGCCAGTCTATAAGAAAGGACAAGAGTCCTCCTGTTACAATCACAGAGGGATCAGTTTGACTAATATAGTGTCTAAAATATTAGCTTCAATAATACTTGGAGCTTATGGCGAACTGTCATCCGAATTGGTTACCTCAAGTGATGTTCGTCAGGGCTGTCCACTCTCCCCATTCTTATTTAACTTTGTCATTGATATGCTTTTAGAGATAACACTTTCATCAGCTAAACCTCCAGGAGTTGAACTTTTACCAGGAGACCAACTTGTTGACTTAGAATACACCGATGACATAGTTCTGCTTGGTGAGGACGCTGACAAAATGCAAAGTCTTCTGACCACTATAAGCAACTATGCAGGCATGCAGGATGCGATAGCCCCCTCGAAGTACAAAATGTTACTTCAGGATTGGGTTGCATCGGCACCTGAACTAATAATAGGGAGTGAAGTCGTTGAAGGTGTTGACCGCTTCACTTATCTTGAGAGACTCATCAGCCCTTGTGGTCTGATGTGTGGCGAAATCTCAGCACGGATACACAAGGCTCGTCTACTTTTCGTCAACTTGCGGCATTTATGGCTCAGGCGAGATATCCGTATAGCAACTGAGCTTCTGTTTGTATTTCATATCTGTAAAACGATATAGTTATTATTAAGGAAAACAACATAAAAAACCTGATCAAGGTCAGGTAAGTCGGGCAAATAAGTAAATTTCGGTCTAGTGTATGAATTTCGGGGAAGAAAGATAAGAATGTTAGGAGCTTGACTTATGAAACAACAGTCTCCCAATCCAGTAAAATATAGAAAAGTCTGACAAAAACAAGGCAAACACATATACAATAAATTTGGATCCAACAACGTTGTGAACGACCATAGCACCCAGAACGGGACAAAAACAATAAATATAAGAGCAGAAGTGGTTATGGCAGGAGTAGCCCACGTCGTAATAACATACATTAATTACACAAAATATGAGTTCAGAAGAATTAGTTGGAGCAGTAAAAAATTACAACGATTTTATCATTAAGTAACACGCGACAGATATGCAGCTAATATAGCTACAAACAAATAACAAACAATGAGGGCAACATCACAGAAACGCCGTTTAGTGTAATCTAACAATAAAAGTAATGATAAGCATCACTAAAACAATATTGTGGGAAATTCATTGATTAAATTAATTTTGCAACAAATAACAGCTAAACAAAGATTAGCTTATCATTTCATAAATCATGAATTTCAACAAACCACCAATCAGACTTACCTGAATCCTTAAGTGATGGATCCGAAACATTAACACGCAGAGTGGAGCTTCGACCTATATAGGATGCAGCAGGTGGAGGAGGTGGTGGTGGTGGAGGAGGAGGTGGCGGAGGTATAGCTAAATTACATTCATTTTGGATTTCCTAAAACCAGTGAAAGGAAGTATCAACCACTATCATATCATATGAATAAGGATGACAAATTACACTCAAGTAAAACATCATCAAATTAGACTGATCAGATATTATGTTTACATTGCATACATACCAAAAACATTGAATTCCCACATTCATATGGAAAAGAGATGATGAAACAGTCACAAATAAAATCCGCCCACCATACAAATACAAAACCACAATAATACATTTACTAAATACGACTCAATGTCTTAAACCATTTAGTCAAAACACTAATGCGTAGAAAAGAATCTGAGGTCAATGTGACTGAAAGAAAAACCTGAACAGACAGTACAGCTTCCAAAACAGATAATTAACAAATCGTATGATGGTTCACGAAATAACACTGATCACTTCTTTTATTCTCAAAACAACAGTCTGTCAGCCAACACCGAAGTCACTATCTTCAATACGAACGTCAAAACAATTCTACTCTACGGAACTGAAACTCCCAGCACTATTACAACCATCATCAATAATGTACAAGTATTTATCAACAATTGTCTACGCAGAATACCTAATATCCGTTGATCGGATACTATCAGCAACAACCTACAATGGAAGAGGACAAACCCACTTCCATCTGAAGAAGAAATCGGAAAAGATAATGGAGGTGGATAGGACATACATTGAGGAAATCAAACTACATCACAAGGCAAGCGCTAACTTGCAATCCTGAATGCAAAAGTAAAAGAAGCAGATCAAAAACGCAATGAAACAGGAATACAAAGCAGACATAAAAATGAATCGCACTACGGAACAAATGGAAAATACACCCAAACACAGAGTTGGTTGGAGAATACTGGTCAGAAGCCTATGCTCCACGAGGGATAACAGGAGTAATTAACTAAGATCACGTTGTTCACATTACAATTATTTAACGCTGTCCAATTTACTGTCTTGGACATCTTTAACTCAATTCATCACAATTATGATTATGGAGTGTTGATCAGATTAAGTATCTAAACGGTCGTAACAGATGTAGCAATATTGTTACGTTTCATGTAGTAAGTGTAATCAAGATCAGTACAAAAGACACAATATTGTTGATTAATTAATTACATTTTATGATTTTGTTCAGCGTGAACAAACACGAATCCCAGGACGTGATACACAAACTCACCAAGATCCTTCAAATAAAAACACAACACTCTTTAGAATATATATTTTTCTAGGCAATATCCATAAACAAACCTTCTTTGTAATGGAATTCACTGTGGTATATGGTTTACATTCATGAGAATTTGATTGATCGTTCACAATATGGACAACACTTGGCTTTGTAACTGTCTCTTGAGAAGGATTTTTGGGCGCTGAGCGTTTATTTGATTTACGGCCTAGTAAAGCACATAAATAATAAAGGTTATAAACCATTATAACACAAATAATTTAGACATCCTATAACATTCTACATACACAGGTGAATTTCAGCAAAAACATAATTTTCATTGAATATGAATATCTAGTGGAAATTGACCGGTAATAGTGATTAAAAAAATTAATGTACACCAGTTGTTGACAGAAAAATTGTTACACTCAGCCAGATACCACTATTTAAAATGAACAAACCACATGAAATCTACAATATTTTAGTCTGAATAGATGTACCGAAATTTATATGTTGAAAAATAACACACAGAATTAACAAAGTGGCTTACCTTCTTTCACAAATTCATCATCTAGGCTACTATCCATTACAAGCAAGTGTGAATCAGATTTACGAGATTCTTTATGTTTTGACTTAGACATGTTTGGATCACTACCATTAACAGGTTTAACGAGATTCGGAAGTAATGGTGGTGGTGGTGGAGGTGCAGGGGAACGATAATTTTTCACGGATTCCTAAGAGCAGTGAAAGAAAGTATCAACCACTATCATATCAGATGAATAAGGATGACAAATTACACTCAAGTAAAACATCATCAAATTAGACTGATCAGATATTATGTTTACATTGCATACATACCAAAAACATTGAATTCCCACATTCATATGGAAAAGAGATGATGAAACAGTCACAAATAAAATCCGCCCACCATACAAATACAAAACCACAATAATACATTTACTAAATACGACTCAATGTCTTAAACCATATAGTCAAAACACTAATGCGTAGAAAGGAATCTGAGGTCAATGTGACTGAAAAAAAACCTGAACAGACAGTACAGCTTCCAAAACAGATAATTAACAAATCGTATGATGGTTCACGAAATAACACTGATCACTGTTATTAGTCTATTCTATAGATGGAAATAAATTGTAAATATATTTGAATTTTTAAAAAGTAGGACATTATTTATCTGAAAATACTGGCTTCAGTGTGTTTGGTGCAAATCAAGTGTACGGAAGACCATCTTTCAACCAACCTGTATCCCTTCTTCGTTCACTGTTGGTCCAAGACCGGGATAAGTGTGCACGTTTGTACATCGGTTTATTGAAACAATCGCATATAAAATAACCTTGCTCGAAAATAGCTAATCTGAAAAATAATTTAAATCATTCAAACTCTCTCCTGGTATTTGGAGGACCTCAATTCAGAGGAGTTATGACGGCCTCAAGTGAAAGACGAGGTTTATCAGAAGTCATGAGACCGACGCCCCTTCTGACAACCAGAGCCACAACTAATATAAGTACATGGAATATCCAAAGAGTAAAGGAGACCGAGAGGACCAATAGAATCAGGAGATAAAACATGGTGGTGTTCAGAACAAGTTAACCCCCCCTGAACCCAAGATAGACAGAAAACATAACCTTGAAGAGAGAAATGTTATTGTACTCTAGTCATGGGGAACAAAATATCTGGCACACACCAACAGTTGCACTGATGATTTTCGAAGAAGCACGAGAAGCACTTATGGGATGGGAATCTCGTGGAACTAGGATCACCGAAACATACTTCAAAACAAAGAAGAGAGGATCACAATTATTGTTATACAGTGCTATGCGCCCATCAATCATAACAACAAAGACGATAAAGAACAATATTATGAGAGACTGTAGTCGATCGTAGAGAAGTGCTCACAGATAGACTTGATTGTCGTGATGGGAGACCTAAACCTCAAGGTTTTGATATGCAATATCGACTATGAAGATATCATGGGACGACATGAACTAGGAGAAGTCACGAAAATTGTGAAGGGTTTGTAAATTTATGTGCATTCAACAAAATGGTTATGTGTGGAACTATATTACCCACAGACACATACACATAGCTACAGGAGTTTCATCAAACCTCAATACAGAGAACCACATTGACCACATTTCCATCAATAAAAAACTCAGAAGGTTCATCGAAAACATGAGAACAAAGGGAGGAGCTAACATAGCTTCAGATCACCACCTGCTCGTGACCAAGATGAAATTCAACTTAAAGAGCACTGAACAGATGAGCAAACAACATTACAAAATTTTGATAGTCTTCTTTCGAGATACTGACACATTCAACAAATCCAAGATAGGTATCAGCAGCAAGTTCCAAGACTTACAAGATCAACCCAAACAAGAGGAAACTACTATGGAGAACAACTGGAAGGGGATTAAAAAATAATCAACTTCAACATGCCTGGAGGTGTTTGATTGCAATTAACACCATCATAACGAGTAGATCTCTATTGATATCCTGAACAAGAGTCAAGAAAGAAAGGACAAGGAAACAGTAACTAAGAACAGCCTAACAAGAGCAGAGAAAGCCAAGGCTCAAGAAGAATACACCAAAACAAACAAGCGAGTAAAGTGAAGAGGAAATATGTGAAAGGCCTAGGAATGACAGCGGAGAATGTTGCAACAGATGGAAATACGAGACAACTATATGATAAAAGAAAGAATCTACCAGGGAAATATAGTAAACCACAGTGACCAATCAAGGATAAAGAAGTTAAACCAAACACTGAGGTTCAAGAACAAAGGAACAGGTGGGTAGAACACTCTAAACAACTATTGAATAAGCCAGCTCCACTGAACCCATCTGACATCGAAGCAGCACACATACACCTTACCTTTAGCTGTTACTCCACCAACAATTGAAAAAATCAACATGGCCATCAGAAAAGTCAAAAGTGGGGAAGCAGCAGGACCCAACAACATACCAGCAGAAGCACTTAATTCTGACACAGTAGCAACAACAAAGATGCTCAACGTTCTATTCAGGAAAATTTCGGGGAGAGAAATATTGCCGACAGACAGGAAAGAAGGAAACCTCATAAAAATATCAAAGAAAGAAAATCACAGCAAGTATGAGAACTACACAAGCATCAAACCACTATCAGTACTAAGAATCGTTATCAACACAGTGTCGTTGAACCCGAGTACACGCCCAACAGGCTGGATTACGTCAGGTTCCATCGTGCACAAACAACTTCGCGAAACTACGGATCATCGTTGAACAATCAATTAAATGGAACACATCCATTAACATCAACTTCCCCGACTATGAGAAAACAATTAACAATGTAATTAAGAGAAACTGATAAAAATTTCTTTAAACATTGTGGTGCACCTGTGAACATCGTCAACATCATACGGAGTTCTAACGATGCACTACACTACAAACTCGTGCATGGAGCGCAGCTTACAGATCCAATGCAGGTGAAGGCAGATATCAGACAGGACTGCTTATTCTCACCTCCTCATTTTCTTCTGATGGTTGATTGGATTATGAAGACCTCCACATCTCACGGGAAGCACGCAATACGATGGACAGCTCGAGGTCAACTAGACGATTCGCACTTCGCAGATCACCCACTTTTTCTATCCCATACACACCAACAAATCCAGGTCAACACAACCAGTGTAGCAGCAGCCTCCGCATCAGTAGGCCTCAACATACACAAAAGAAAACACGAAATCCTCAAAAACAAAACCGAGAACACCAAACCAACCAATCACACTCTATGTAGAAACTCTGGAGCCGGTCAAAACTCTCATGTACCTGGTTAGCATTATCGATGAACAAGTAGAATCCGATGCAGACGTTAATGCGAGAATCGGTAAAGAAAGGGCATCATTCCTACAACTGGAGAACATATGAAACTCAAAACAACTATCTGTAGGCCAACACCGAAGTCACTATCTTCAATACGAACGTCAAAACAATTCTACTCTACGGAACTGAAACTTCCAGCATTATTGTGGTATGGTCTATTTATATCCATATAGGTAGTATATGGTGTTGGTCAGACATAGAATGTATTTTGGCAGAAGTCCCGCCAGAACACTCAACTCGACGCCACCACTCCTCACCAGACTGCCCCAACTAGCACCTCCAATCCAGACCCGCAGCGACGTTCGCAGAACAACACCCTTCCTCCTCCTGGTTGGCAGCGACAACAAATGTAGTGAACAGAACACTGGTTGGGGACAATCCAATGTGTTTCAGCCAAACATTACAGACTATCTCAGTAAATTCTGATTACCAAACAATGAACAGTCAATTTGCAAATTAACAACCAATTGTTTCAATCTTCACTGTTTCTTCTCTTATTCCATTGCTCATGCATTTTCCAAACGACTGTGCTTCATTTTAGTTCTTTCCTCATCGGTCTTCTGCCAAAATACATTCTATGTCTGACTCACACCATATACTACTTATATGGTTATAAGTAGACCACACCAGGACCTGATACACAAACTCACCAAGATCCTTCAAATAAAAACACAACACTCTTTAGAATATATATTTTTCTAGGCAATATCCATAAACAAACCTTCTTTGTAATGGAATTCACTGTGGTATATGGTTTACATTCATGAGAATTTGATTGATCGTTCACAATATGGACAACACTTGGCTTTGTAACTGTCTCTTGAGAAGGATTTTTGGGCGCTGAGCGTTTATTTGATTTACGGCCTAGTAAAGCACATAAATAATAAAGGTTATAAACCATTATAACACAAATAATTTAGACATCCTATAACATTCTACATACACAGGTGAATTTCAGCAAAAACATAATTTTCATTGAATATGAATATCTAGTGGAAATTGACCGGTAATAGTGATTAAAAAAATTAATGTACACCAGTTGTTGACAGAAAAATTGTTACACTCAGCCAGATACCACTATTTAAAATGAACAAACCACATGAAATCTACAATATTTTAGTCTGAATAGATGTACCGAAATTTATATGTTGAAAAATAACACACAGAATTAACAAAGTGGCTTACCTTCTTTCACAAATTCATCATCTAGGCTACTATCCATTACAAGCAAGTGTGAATCAGATTTACGAGATTCTTTATGTTTTGACTTAGACATGTTTGGATCACTACCATTAACAGGTTTAACGAGATTCGGAAGTAATGGTGGTGGTGGTGGAGGTGCAGGGGAACGATAATTTTTCACGGATTCCTAAGAGCAGTGAAAGAAAGTATCAACCACTATCATATCAGATGAATAAGGATGACAAATTACACTCAAGTAAAACATCATCAAATTAGACTGATCAGATATTATGTTTACATTGCATACATACCAAAAACATTGAATTCCCACATTCATATGGAAAAGAGATGATGAAACAGTCACAAATAAAATCCGCCCACCATACAAATACAAAACCACAATAATACATTTACTAAATACGACTCAATGTCTTAAACCATATAGTCAAAACACTAATGCGTAGAAAGGAATCTGGGGTCAATGTGACCGAAAGAAAAACTAGTACACATAGTATAGAGTTGACTAGCCATTAATAACAAATCGTACTATATGTTCCGACTTAGAAGTTTCTATAATTGGCGGCACATTGAAAAGAATGAAAATATTAACGATGTTGCAATTAAATGTGAGGTCAAGTTTTTTGCATTTGTTGTTTATACTTGTTTAATTTTTTGATGATTTAAACTGTGCTTTTTTATTTAGATATTCATTTATCAGTGGTAAGGGCTACATAGTTTAATTTAATCTTGGAATATAGTTTTTGATGTATTTTTGGTGTTGAATAAATATTTTTTTATGCCTACTTGTCTCTTTCCTTGCAGTGAATCATATCAGTTTTTATTTATTTATAGTACAAGATGATTAGTAAATATATTAGAATTATAAAGCAGTTAAACAAAAATCATCTGAAATTATTGGCTTCAAACTATCTGGCTCAAATTCAGTATGTAGTAGACCAACTTTGTTAAGATTGCAACTATTTAACGCTAAATTACTTTCTTGTACATATTTAACTGAATTCATCACAATTATGATTATAGAGTATCGACCAAGTTAAATATTTAAACGATTTTAGTGAGTGCAGGAATATTGCTATCACTTCAAGTGATAAGTATAATCGAGGCTGATACAAAAAATATTACATTTCTAACAAGTTACATCCTTTTGTTTTGTAATACCACTAAAGGGGTTAGAATCTCTCAACTAAGGGTTTTGTAATTACCAAGATTTGTCAAGAAGAGTATCTAAAACGTTTCGAAAAATTATGTCCGCATAGATGATTCTCGAAACATCGCTTAGTACTCCAGTCACTTGTTATTATTTAGTTATTTAGTTTACGAACTGAGCTACTTGATGTCGTAGTAATCACTTCCCCAGAGCTTGTAAAAAATAATTAACCGAGGAATGCAATGTTTTCTTGGTAAATGAACCAAGATATACCCATGTTTCTAATTTATATATCAACTTAGTTTTAACTTAGTTTATTGAATGCAGCTGCATTAATATATCTGTTAAATTAAAGAAATACTCCCCTCGAAAAATATATATTGGCAAGACAAAAATTCATGAGACAAATTACGCACACACAAACCTTCTTTATATTTGAACTCACCATGGTAGACGATTTGAGCTTGTGCGAATTTGATTTATCCTTCACAGCAAATGATTTACTTCGTGATTCTTGAGAGCAATTACTAAATGAGTCTTTATTTTTCTGAGATTCTAATAAACAATAGGAATAATACAATAAATGGAAATCAGTTCAGTGTGAATTGTCTATAACAAGTCCAGAGCAGTAATACCACAATGCACAATGAATCACCTGAATAACTCTATAAGAAGTTTAAAAAATGAGTGATATGTATTATTGTAGAGTAAATTCACTGAGAAATAACCACTTACATTTCAGCAGTTATAAATTAACATTCCTAAAACTATTTTGTAAAATTCTAAATGATTAAAATATTAGATGTTGGATAAGTCCCACAGATCATTCGGTGGATCTTATCCACACACAAATTTGATAAACAAATAATAAATGTTCAGTGCTTTTTAAAATAAATTACCTCAGTAACAAAGAAGTAATAAGCCTTTTCCAACGAATTCTTAGACTAATTTATTACCTATTTATTTGTCGGATTTATCTTTTTCTACGTGACCAAAGAAGTAAATAACAACATTATAACTGTTCAATGATAACTTGAAGTACTGTTCAGTTATATTTTATTTTCCTATTTACACAAATAATATAAGGAAATACAAAACTGACCAACCCAAAAATGATCAACAGCGACTAGAACTTACCAACAACTGAATTTCGTTTACCCTCGAATTTTTTAATATCATCTTTCTTACTTGGTAGTGTCACACAACTAGAAGATTGTACCTTGTCAGGTACATCGGCAAAAGGTGATAAATGTCGATGAGTTATTTGTTGTTTAGCAGGTACACTTGGTGCTGGACGCTTTTTATGCTTAGTTAACAATAACAACAAAGAAAGATTGTAAATGAATTAAACAGATGTTAAGCCTGAAAAAGTTTATAAAGTATTGTACATAAAGCTTAAAATTCAACTATATTTATTACTAACTTTTACCATGTATTCATGTTAAAATAACTTATCGGAAAATTTATTTCAAACCAACTCAATTAATAAGCACTTGATTATGACTCAGTACATCATAGTTCGAATGGTTGCACAGTTAGAGGGCAGCCATTACTACAGACAAAAATGCCAAGGAAACCTGAATGTTGATGATTTACAAATCGATGTAATGTTGTAATTGTGGCTTGTTGAGATGTTTAAAACAAGGACAGATATCTAATGGTTACTCCATTTCGTTAGTTCATTAGATGATGTTAGTTTATGATGAACGCGTTAAAAATGATAAAACTGTGAATAAAAGCCAAAGTGGACTAGTGTTATTATTACTAGTAATTTCTTCATTTCAGATAATTCAATAACACGATTGTAAAAAGAATTCTGTTAATTATTAACATATAATTAACAAGAACATTTATCCCTGTTTTACAGCTAAAATGCACACAGATCTCCAGATAAACTTATGTAATTAATAATAAATTAACTATTTTTCGACTATTCATACTATCATAATTTCTCTTATTGCGACCCAGCTACCCTTTATTGTGTAGTATTCTAAGACTCTATTTCGCTCGACAAGTCCCTAAACCAGAACACGGTTGAACAGGAATGTAATTATACTCCAAATAAAAAGGTTGAATGGAATTAGGAATCACAAGAAAAACGTCGGTACATTTATAATTTTTACATGAGAAGATTCTAGTCTTCTCCAAGTCTCTGCTAGCAATGATTGGTTAAGAAATAGCCGGTCAGTGTGCCCCAACACAATCCTGCACGGAATAAGCTTTAGTTCAATCTATATATCGCTAACGCAGACTTAGTTCCGTTTTACTCTACTTATCAATAGACTTTTGTAAACCTTATGTTGTCTATTGTAAAATAATATTCCAATTTACCACTAATATTAATACTACAGATATTATAAAAAAACGCAATTTTGTTTATTAGAGTAAACTGACCTAAACTACAAATAGTCTAGAAATTATTATCAGAAGAGGGGTTTTTGGAGATTGTAGCAATTTGGTAGTTGAATTCATGAGTCGATTAAAGCTAGACCACCATGGAAAACCATTTCGTCCTAGTATGGAACTCCTCAGAAGTGAGCATCCACGATCTCAAACCCAGGACTTACAGTCTTAGGCGTGAACGCTTAACCTCTAGACCAATGAGCCGGCATCCAACGGTGTCAATGTCTAACATCAACCAATCCACAGAATTTCCCCACCGTGGACGCGCACTGCTGAGAAACCCTATACTATGATGAAATGGCCGTCCAGTGCTTCCAGGTTTTTCCAGGTGGTATAGCTTTAATCGACTCATGAAGTCTAGAAATTACCAATAAATACTCGTATCATATATCCGACGTAAAAATGTGACGTTAATCAATTACAATAAATAAAACAGAGTAGTTTAATAGATTGAAACATTTATTTAGAATTTTCAAACCACTTTGTCAGAGGCAAAAAATGTCAAAACCAAAGAATATGTGTCAATACTCAATAAAATTAAGAATTGATTCAAAGGCATGCGACTTTTTTTTATCTCACTACTATACTAACTAGAGCTGCAAATCGCTGGCTAGTGATATGTAACACAAGCCTAAAGCAATTCACTCGTTGAAAATCTACAACTCACCAATCGACCGACTCCTAACATAACTTCTAAACTTGTGATTCGGCTACACGTGAGAGATGTTTCTAAAGCCTATACAAATGACATCACATGTACGTCAGTTACTATTATTTCATGTTTTAGAGAAATAAAGTAACATGGTACGATACTTGCTCTTTGATAAGCAGACAGGAGTATTGCTTGCGCCAAGTTGGCAGTAGCAAATGTTTGCATTCAATTATTTTTATTTCTTTGAACACAAATACTGGCACAAGGTTGCATCGAATACATATGTGCTTGATAATGAAAATGAAGTTGCGAAGAGATCGAGAATATAAAGTGCGTATAATAAAGAGAAGAACAACGAACAGAAATTACTGTATGAGAGTGGAATAATAATAACAATAGTGACAATAATAATAATAATGGGAAGAAGAATGGGAGAAACAGTTCGGATATTAAAAATACAACCAGGAGGATTCTTCCAGTTAAAGAAGTTACGTTCTTTAATAACAAGTCAACTATGTCATCCACTAATTCAATATAGATGATAAAACTCACGAGGTAACTGAAATGGACGTTTTAAAGAATAGTCAAACAAAATTCTTACTTTCATTTCCGAATTAGATAGAGAGTTTTCTTGAGAGTCATCGATTCGACTCCTTTCGTCTGACTTTGAGTTCTTGCTAGATTTACCTTTCTCTCGCTCTGAAAGATAGAAGATTTAAAAAATCATAACAGGCAGACACCCAGATATCAATATGGGAAGTGATTTTTAAGTTTCAACAATTTCCAATAACCGCAAATTCACATAATTGGAGAAATTACATCAAGTGGCTTCCTCATCTATCTGTTTACAAACAAGTGTGCAAGTAACCATTAAGCAGCGATTTAGTTAGGCAAGCTTAACTGTTTGAACATCATTACCTAATTTTTGTTGTTTGAACAATATTTTTAATGATTAGCTTTACATTGAAAAAGCTATTAATATTCTTACCGTTCTTGACATTTCATTGTTATTCTTTTGCATAGCTCTTTATTTGGTGGTCGCACAAAACTTTGGTTATTCTTTGTAGGTGAGCTAAGGGTAAACTATCCAAACTTCATTTCTCCCACTTAAATTTCGATTGATTTTCATGTTATCTTTCATACTATGCTTCCCATTTTATTTGTTTCCCCTAGCTGCACTGATGTAAGCGGAGGCAACTTGGAATGATGCAAACCCATCCCAGGTCTTATGTAGATAGCGACTAATTGACTGACTGATTCCTTAAAGATAAGATCGAATAACTTTGGTTTTACAAGATAATCGACCTTTGACAATCACGTAAAGTAGCTACATATAGGGAGAACGATAATTCATGTTCGAAATAAAGTCTCGGAGACGAAATATTTCGACACTCCTACGGATGTGGCGCAATGGTGAAATAAAGTAGGTTTAAATGCAACACATGCTATCGGACAGTAACTATGTCCTAAAAAGAATAGAAAACCAACAAGTCATTGGTTGATGAGTGATATAATTATGATTATATAGTCTCAAGTAACATGTTACAGTTGTTTGACACTCACTATAACCGGACTACAAAAAGACTCACGAAGCAAATATGTCAACAAACTTTTTAATCCTTACGCTATCTGCTAGGTTCTACGTTGTTTCTGACTGACCTTAGAACACAGTTACTATGGCATCAATATAAAGGCTAATGTTTCAGAACTAAGAAAGAATAAACAAATGATTAAAGAGCTGTCTAGTAAACCTGAAATTTGGAGAACTTTTTAGTCACATGACTACAATCCAGAATTAAAAGATCATGCAACCAAGGATTTTAATCATTATAATACCATATCTTTCCAGTAAAGACAGAAAGAATTAGAAGCCGACCTAAATACCTCTTGATAGTCGTTCTGAATGACTATGCCAGGCGGGTTATCGAAAACTACTGGTTTTATTTATATCAAGTTTGTTGTATCTATATGAACTATGCAGAAGCTGGTGGCAAGAGAATAATTGAGTTGCTATAAAGAAATCCAAACCGAGTTACCAACCTTTAAGTTCAATTTGTTCTGCATTTTGGTTTAAGAATGTATCTGTTGGATCTAAAATCGTTCTTTTTTGGGGATCAATAATGAAGTAGTTGCTTAATTGAACATGACGCTCCGAAGACACCTGAAATGAAAGCAAGGTGAAATCGATGGTGTAAAACACGTACACTGTCAGTAAGTTGAATACACCACACACCGAATAGTATAAGTTATTCAGTAAGTCCTAAAAATTATCAAATGGTTGGGCCCACTGAAAATTAAAGTAATAAGTTGGCAGATTAAACTTGCGATATATTTACCGCGTAAGACAAATCATACTACTTAGAGGTCTAAATTGCGTTGGTCAATTAGAAATCAAGCACACAACCCGGGAAAGTTAGACCTGCTTCAGACCTGGTGGTCGGTGTATTGAAAAAGTCTTCGCCGTTCAGTAGATTTGAGAACACAGGTACTTGTACTATCCTCCAAATGAGACTATGTTTGTTAACCTGAATGGAGCAGTCCACTCTGTCAAAGAATGTAGTAAAAGTGTAAATACAACCTCTCCAGGGTTGATGGATTCAGAAACCTCAGTTGGCTCAGTTGGGTCGCACACCGAATAAGTCTTCATTACGATTATATAGTGCTCAAGTTTGACAGTATGTACATTTCACTGAACAAAAACAGCAATGCAGTAAAATATTGATAGCTACTAAAACATTTTGAGTCTACTAGTTATAAGCGATTTATCACTTCTCTCCAGATCACTAAATCACCCAAACAGGTTCATTGTGGTGTAGAACAATGGTTAAAGGAACCCTCTAGATGAAGACTGTGGCTTGCTAGTCTACATTTTTAATTTGCTGAAGTCTGAGCACTATATGGTTACTCCACATTATTACTAGAAAGTATGTAACTTCATAAAACAGATAATCCCTATTTAGGAATAAAAAGATTAAATTGAACGTACAAGATTTCAGTTTAAACTTACAGTAAGTACAAACAGTGTTGTCAGACTTTGAAAATAATGATAGTTTTGAGAAACTCAGTAAAATCGTGTTGAATATACCATCACATATCCTGGATCTCTAATATAAAAACATCATATGACTACATAACAGTGACAAAGATCGATATATAAATCCAGTGCTAGATGCGTACAAAATTACAACACATTATACCTATATTTCCACAAAAAAATCAGCGGTCCAAGTAGGCTACCTTTAGTACCGACCCGAGATACTTAAGAAACATGAACAGAAGGATGACATGTTACACATGCGTATCAGTTCAAATCTGTTACGCTTTTCACTACGATACTAAAAGGAAATTAGGAAGACAAAGAGAAAAGGAATGGAAACAATGAAACTGGTGGTGATGAATGATATAAAAATAGAGATAACAGAAGGCAAAGTATAGAATAAATCGGTAAAGCTAAAGAATTAGTAAGTCGGCGCAGCATCGCGCCAAATGACTATGCGAAATTCGACTGAAAAAGCTTACTTTTTGAAGAACCTTACTAATAGGTTGATCCAAACGTCCGCGAACGACAATCATGCAATTTTCTGGTAAATGCACAGCAATCCGATGTCCCTACCAATTTCAGAAATATGGATAGAAAAGCATTAATCTTGTGCATCAATAAGCGTACATTTACAGAACAAGTTTCGGAGTTTGTTCTTCCACTATACAGATGCAATGAAGAATTTAGTGTCTTAAAAACCATGCTATGTCAAAAGTCAGTAGCGAATAAAATGACGAATACATAAACAAAATCATTGCGTCATATAAATGATTCAGAAATCAAAGTAGTATCAGGAGGTCAAGAAATGAAAGGAATTTGCGAAGTATTATTACAGCAGATTACCCAGTGAGTTTAGATCAAAGAGAACGTGTGCTGCATGACAAACACACCAGACAAAATGGTAGTCATCTAAAAACTGTAAATGAGCTTTTTGAAACCAGCTGTTGTTAATCATTATTAGTGGTATGACTTTGAATGAGAAAATAGAAAGTGCTGACAACCAAACAATGTGATTTAGAGGTTATCTCCAATACTTTTGACGCCAAACATATTTAAAACTGCCATTTCTTCTTATGTCTATTCAAGCCACTATCCAACACGTCCAATTATTGAAATGAAATCCGACGAGGTCATAAGTAACTCAATACATGGAAAAAACGTATTTATAACTCACTTCGTTTAAAAACTCCCTCTCCCTTTTTAGGAGTGTAATAGGGTATTTGAACTTCGTGTCAAGAAACGGATACTGATAAAGTTTAGCAGACTTCTTGAAACAGCATTTAGCAATGAGTCTAACCATAGATGGTAGTGTTGTTTGAGTTGTATCAGAATTAACCCAATGGCCAAGCTTACTCCTAGAAGGAGCGGAAAGCCAACAGATGCCTGAAGCCCCAGATAGACCCTCGCAAGGAACTAAGAAAGTGTAGTCCATTGCTTCTAAGCCACATAATGAACAAAGTTGAACGAGGAAATCAGAACATTTCATGTCGAAGTTCACACCATAAACGCGAATAAATTCTTCAGTAGCGATGCACTCGACGTCAACGTACGACCCATTATCACCACAATTCATGTAATAAAATCTAGTGGGATCATAACTTGCTGAATTGATGGAGGCATTGCTGCAATCTGAACGACTCTTAGAGGGCTTTGAGTAGATGAGGTTCTTAAGCTTTTCAATTGCATCAGCCAAACCCATATCAGTAATTAATGTGTAGTGCCAAATTTGTAACAGTATAGTTCCCACAGAAACTCCCAGAAAAATGTAAAAGAATCGCCAGTGGACTAGTTGCAAATGAGATATAAATATTTGATTTCGAAATTTACCCCAGATGCTAGTTTATGTTTATAAACTTCCAACAGTTGCTACCTGGAAAAAAATTCGACAAAAACAAGACAGTCCCCTGTTTTATTATATAACTGACTCATATATTTATTCCGTAAACTTAGATAAAAAAGAATTTATTCAGTAAAACAGGGTTCTTAAAATTCACCACTTTTTGTATTTTTGACATAGATAATTTGAACACAGAAATAGATATGCCCATATCTAAATATGAGCAGTAACTAGAATGTTGTTAGCGAAAAAGCTAACGCATGACCTCATTGACTTAATTTATAGTGATATTCAAATACCTAGTTCCATAAACTTTATATTTATTCGCTTCTATACACTTTATGCAAATTGTTATGTTATTCTTTACTAATGCCTTAATTTATAATAATAAAAACGCTTCAGGGTAGCTTACAGTAAAATTGAGTTGATACAACCTTGTGAGTAGCAATTATTTCAAAGTGAAATTGCATGCATAGTGGAAACAAAACAGAACAAGACAAAACCCCGCCTCTGTTCCACTAGGTCACCTGAGACAGACCGTACTGGTAGTGATACAAACAAACAAATGATTCAATACATTCAAATGGTTGAGGACGAAATAGAAGAATATTTTGCTCAACGAGCTTACGTGTCTAGTAACAGTAGATTACCGATACCTCCAGTCAAGAACCTAAGTATAATAACGATAATAGAGGGGAAAAAAGAATTTGGTAAATCATAATATCCTTAGTCCTTAAGAATAAGTCAAATGGTTCAAATGGTTGAAGACGGAATAGAAGAAGCTTTCACTTAACGGGCTTCCGTGTCTGGTATCAGTGGATCACCAATACCTCCAGACAGAAACCTAGGTATATGAACGATAATAGAGGGAAAAAAAGAATTTGGTAAATCATAATAATATGTTATCCTTAGTCCTTAAGAATAAGTCAAGTTTCCTCTTAAAGGGCTCCTGGGAGGTTGCTTGAACTAGCTCAGTCGGCAGCGAATTCCAGCACTTTACAACTCTAACGGAGTAGAAGTTGTGTCTGCAGTCTGTTCTGCTATGTAGGGTCTCCAATTTTTGGGTGTTACCTCTCAGGTTAGTGCTATGACTAAGATTAAGAAGATGTTTAAGGGGATGACCAGAAGTATTAAGGATACTGTAAGTCATAAGAAGATCACCTCTAAGACGCCTGTACTCTAACTGGTAAATGTTAAGTGATTGGATGCGCTCTTCATAAGGTTTGAGACCCCGAACTGATTTCGTGGCTCGACGTTGTATACGTTCCAGAGTGACCTTATCCTTTTGGAGGGAGGGAGGAAATACTATGTTTCCGTACTGTAAATGGGGACGAATAAAACTGTTGAAGATTATATGGAAGGTTCTACCGTCAAACTGGCCAAAAATGCGCCTCAATGTTACCAGTGCAAGGTTTGCTTGCGAGGCGTTTTTGTCACAGTTCGCATACGATTTCAAGTCGTAGGGTACCAACACTCCTAAATCTTTTTCAACTTAGGAAACTTCTAGAGGGGAGTTACCTAAGTTATAACTATAGTCTGCAACATGTCTCAGATGGACTACCTTGCACTTTGAAGTGTTGAAGGTAAGTCCGTTGTCGTCTGACCAACTTTGAAGTCGGGTCAGATCCTCCTAAAGAACTAGTATATCATTATGATTACGTATCTCTCTCCAAAGTTTCACATCATCAGCAAAAAGCAATAAGTCAGATGAAACTTGTTGAGGAAGATCGTTAATATAAATCAAGAAGAGAAGAGTTCCTAGTATTGAGCCCTGGGGGACCCCACTAGGACATTCCATAGCCTGAGAGAGAGTGAAGTTAACCCTGACCTTAAGGTGTCGGTTTTCTAAATATGAAGAGAGCCAATCAATCAAAGGGGGTTTTATACCCAATCATCCAAGCTTCTTCATAAGACATGCATGATTGACCCTATCAAAAGCTTTTGAGAAGTCCAGGTAGATGACGTCAACCTTCCCCTTGCGATCAAGGATGGTTGCCCATCTATCCACTGCAGTCAGCAGGTTGGTCATACAAGAATGACCTTTTCTGAAACCATGCTGTTGAGGCGAGAACTTTGAGGATGATAAGTGTTCTAGTAAACCGTCGAATACTAGAGATTCCATAATTTTTGAAGGAATGGAGAGAGGGGCCACTGGTCGGTAGCTTGAGGGTTCACTGCGTCGACCTCCTTTGAAAATTGGTGTGATGTGGGCCAGCTTCCAAATTTCAGGTAGTTTGCCTCTGCTAAGCGAGTGTGCAAACATCACGCTAAGTGGTGTCGCCAGGATTGAAGCTGTTTCCCTCAATACAGCGGAATGAACGACATCCGGACTAGGAGAAGTGTCTTTTCTTAGGTTCTGCAGTTTACGGAGCACCAGGTCAGCACTCAGATCCACTTCGGAAAGTCCTGTACAGGTACAGGTGAAGCTTTCGTCAGTATCGTTGATGTGGGTCAACTGAAATGCCTGAGAGTATTGTTCAGCCAAAAGGTTAGCGGCATCACCGTCGTTATTGGTCGGGCCATTAGGACCAAGCAGTTGGGAAACTCCAGTTTTGCCTTGTCGAAGAGAAGCTGAATAACTGAACAAGCTTTTCGGATTGGAGACGAATCTATCGATAAGCTTGGTCTGGAACTGAAGCCTGTCTTCTCTTATTGCCTTTGTGCATATGTTCCTTATATGTTTGTATTGTACGCGCAGTTGTTATCAGTTCGTTTATATTCAGCCCAACAGTGCCTTTTGCGGCTTAGCAAACGACGAGTGCGGTTCTTGATGATTGGAGGTTGCTTGTAGCTTTTTGGGACCGGTAGAAGAACTGAATAATAATGATAATAATAATCAGAAGGGGATTTGTGGGGATTTCATTATTTTTCAAAGTCGAAATCTTGAGTCAATTGAAGCTAGACTTCCATCGAAAACCTGGAAGCATTGGTCAAGGACTCTGTCTCGAGATTGGTAGGTACCGGGTTCGAGTCTCGCGAATGCGGGATCGTGGATGCGCACTGTTGAGGAGTCCCTTAATAGGACGAAACGGCCATCCAGTGCTTCCAGGTTTTCGATGGAGGTCTAGCTTCAATTGACTGATGATTTCAACTTTGCAAAATGATAATACTAGTATTAATAATATATTTCTGAAAGGGCAGGTGCACACCATTTTCACAGGCACGATCTACAAGTTACAACGTATACTAGTTCACAGTATGCATCCCCTGCAGGGTTGTTTAGTAAATATAATATATAAAAGTTGAGAGCACTTCATTCGTTCAGATATAATGTGTTTTTCTCAAAATATTTTCCAAATGGGCATCGCACCCAAGTTACATACCAGATCCAATCTCGACAAAAAGAGTATTAGGATTTGCTAAGTACTTATGAAATGCAACTTTTACAGTTTATAGTTGTTATAAAGTAGACTCTTGGAGCGCCTGGTTTGAACTACGACCTTGAGGAAGCGCGTTCGTCCAGCTTGTTCCAGATGTCAGAAGTTACATACTTCACCCTCAGAGCAAGATTCTGAAGAGAAAAGAAGAGAAACCGAGGAGCAGCAAGGCATTTGGATATGAACCATAACCAGTGCTTAACATTCGGTAGTGGAACAGACGGAGGTATGATAAATTATTAGATTAAATTGATGCTAACGCATGTTGCTAGAGTGAAAAATGATCAACGGGCTCTAGATGAAAGAGTAATAAAGAACAATGAGTTGTGATATGTATCAGGGTGGAGTAGGTTTGAATGAAGGAAGGGAAGTCAGGAATGGAATGAGAAAGACTGTTTATTAGAACACAGAGTGCATATAGAGAGTAGAGTGTTAAGTAAAATAACAATAGCGCGGCAGCTCAGTAGCACATAAGAAAGTGTGCAGTACAATAAACATCCGCTTTAAGTTGATGGTGAACATCTCGATCCACCTGTTGTAGATAGTCATGTGAAGCTAATACATCCAACCGTTCGAAATTCCGGCTCCTATTAATAATGGGACACCTTAACTCCGTTTCGCTGACAAAACTGAAGGATAGGACGGCGTGATCACTTTTCCCCAGGAGAGCCAGGATTGAGAGGTTGTCGACTTGGGATTCTTCATTTGTGAATATCCAGTCTAAGCGCGACGGCGTCTGACTGTTTCTCTAGCGACTTGCCCACTTCACATGTTCGAATAATTCCAGATCATCAATAAAGTTGAAGAACCGAGCTTCAGTAGGGTTGTCACCTCCAATGTAGGTATGTTGATTCTGGGAAGACTGAAGTCCCTAGTATCAGGATATGATAGAATCCAAGACGCGTAGAGTGGGTTAGTCCACCCAGAAAACGATTGTCATACTCAATGTCGGCAGTGGGCTCCCTGTAGATGACCCCAATTAGATACCTAGAAGTGGTAGATAATCTTACTGGGCACCATACTGATTCATCAAGATTGAGAAACCACAGTGAGACGAAAGGACTGACTCCAAGTCTTCAAAATTAGGGATAGGAGGCCAATGGACCTATGTTAATCTTAGAAATTTATAGTACTGCGAAGATCTGTTTCGCACTGATTGTATCAGAAGGTGATGAAAGTAGGTGTTATGGAAAAGAACTCCAATTATTCACCACGCGGTTCGATAAGCGCGTAGTGGCAAATAAATCCCCGAAATAAATGATTATCAAAGGCTTCGACACTGACGGTAATCTAGTTAGTTTTACTGGACACACCCTGACCGAAGGCGCTTGATCACACATCCACATCAGATCACGAGTGGGCACGCCGTGCTATTCATCCCCTTCAACTACCAGTCAGGTTAAATCAAACGCTTCTCAATAAATCAACAATCTTCTAATTATTTATTGAAATCCGTTAATACCGTACTCCTGATTTAACAGGGTT